CTACCAATGTCCATCCATCTCCACGCTCGGGGAACCTCAATATCGTTAATAACATCCAACCGGTGTGCTTCTGCTCCATCTCTCTACTCCTGGAAGGCCTGATCCCTTGGGAGTCAGGTACCGTTCCAGGAGGGCGAGAAGTCGGTCAATCTTGGGAGGTGGAGGGATGTTGGGATCCATGATGATGTTGATGCTGTGGTGATGATGTCGGTGATGGTTGCATTTGAGCATCACAGAATGAGAATGAGAGTTATCAGGCAAACCAAGCGGTCTCCACTTTTCATGAATGAGCCAAGTGATTCACGGAGGTGCAATTAGGAACCTCAGGCACCACGGTCATAAAGTCTGCGATGTACGCAAATGGGTGAAAATACAATTGGCATTCAGTCAAGATCATTACAAGCGTCCAGTCTCCACAGCGAGCAACAGCCAATCTACCTCATCTTCAAAGCGATATCCAACCCCAATGGCTTCCTCAGGAACCCTTCACGTGTTTCCATGACCTCCTGCTTCAACTCCGGAGTGTATCTCCTCGCCCACGTCGCCGCGATCAACTTCATCTCCATCTCCGCGACATTCCTACCCACGCACGCCCTCGGCCCATGACTGAACGGATTAAACGCAGTCTTTTGCAGGTCATTCAGACTATCCCAGCGCTCCGGCTTAAAGTCGTCTGCGTCGGGGCCCCAGATCTCCTTCGAGTGATGCAGCGTGTACGTCGGCACGCTGAGCACGCTGCCGGGCGGGAAATAATGGCCTTTGATCGTGACGCCGGGCGAGTTGTCGGGGATTTGGCGCGGGAGGCCGATGCCGGATGTTGAATGGTATCGGAGGGTTTCACTGATGACGTTGTTGAGGTAGTTTAGGTCGCGAACCATGTCGTACGTAGGGACCGAGACGTCAGCGGGGATCGCATTATCGAGCTCGGTCTGTAGTTTCTCGAGCACGCCTGGAGTTCGTGTGACGTGATATAGTAAAGCGCATGATGAATTAGACGTGGTGTCACTGCCGGCGATGAGCTGCGTCAAAGCTTCGGCCGTCAATTCCTCGCGACCCAACGGCTCACCCTTCTCATCTCTGCCTTCCATGAGTCGCGCGAGAAGATCCTTTCGCTCAACGGATGGCGGGTGATCCAATCTAGCCTTGACGCGCGCGATCGCAATTCCGGCGAGGTTCTTGACTGCGTTGAGGCCGTTGCTGAAAAACGGGTCGGGCAACCATTGCGCATACGGCTTCAATTGCGGCCAGCAGCCCAACGTCGCGCTGACTTCACCTCTTCTATTCAGAATCTCAATCGCGGAAGCATAAATAGGCGCGCTGTCAGGCGTTGCTCGAACTTCGGCTACGTCGGCGCCATTTGCGAGCATGCCGAAGGGTACACCGAACGCGAGATCGCCGATGACATCGAATGCGAGGTAGTTGAACCACGGGAGACAATCCATAAGCGCTTGTCGCTTTCCGTTCTTATCGGTAGTCTGGCCTGATGCGACAAGTTTGTCGAGCTGTTTCACGAAGAGCTCAAGGTTGGCGTGAATGTACGGCTCAAATTGGCTGATTGACTTGGCGGAGAAGACGTGAGAGATGAGCTTGCGCTTTCGTGTGTGTTCAGCGCGATCGCGTGTATTGAAGAGACCTCGTCGGATTGAGACAAATGCATCGTAGAAATCACTACCGCTCATTAGTTCTGAGAAGACCTGAAGCTGCGGGATACTCACGACTTCAAGAAGCCATTTCCGTGGCCGTAAATGGTGGCGATTGCATCGGGATCCGCGATGGAGGTGTGGTTAGGCTGGATTCGTACGACAGGACCTAATCTCTTGTGAATCTCATCCACGACGCGATATCGTTCACCACGCCTGCACACGTAGAGAAGCCACAGGTTTGTGAACTGCGCCGGGAAAGGCGCTGGTATATCTCTCAGATGGCCGTAGGTCACAAAGTATGAGTAGAGATACGTCGCAATGAGGACACCTGTGGCGATGGGGATTGACCACCAGGTGAAGAGGATGTCGACGACAGCCATGACGACGATTGCGATGCTGCAGATGGTTAGCGATGGTCATTCTCTACTGTCGCGCAAGCTCACCTTTGATAGCTCAAGAAGCGCAAGTGTTTTAAAGACAGCGCGACACTCGTTCGATCAAGTCGAGCCGCAGAGCAGTATTTGAGCAATTGAGTCACCACGAGGACGGAAGAATGAAGTCAGCGCATCTCCAAACTTCCGCATTCTGGGCTAGCTAAACCTCCGCTCGCCCCCGCATCTCGTTCGGCTTGTCTGGATCGGTAGTTGATTGAAGATGGGGATATTCTCGAAAACTTACCCGGGATCCAATGACAGTTCTTTAATTTAAACTTAGTCAAGATGATGGGTTTCGTCATCGGCCTCCGAAAGTGCCGATATCTTTCAATACCCTGTTGCTGTCAATGAGCTAGAGCGCAAAGAGCGTTTGGTGGTCAATGTGGGTTCGTGATGATTGGAGTTACCCTATGGCGACAATTAGATTGATGAAGACCATGAATTGGACGCGTTCTAGAATATAATTCAAGATTTTATAGAACCTAAACCTATAGATGACTGATACTGCGCTATCATTTTATCGCACTCTTCAGTGTCAGAATTAGGAGATTTGTACATTCACGAGTTCCTCTCTCTGGTGTAGCACGTTGTGATGTGAATCCAAAGATGGCATACTCCCATAGTTCAATTGTCCTTGAGACCCACGTGTTTCAAACTCGTTCAAATTCAGTATACGCAATCTCAACGGATACTCAGCACTATTTCGGCACAATGCTGCGGCAACAGCTCCAAGACTCCTCATCCGAGGTTCACAGGGCTGGATCTCTGCCAAGTTGATGCCCCGCCTCAAGCAGAAACACGACCGTCTTGGCTCTGTTTACAGTCCCTCACACAAAAGTCGCGTACTACTCTACCCGATCTGAGCATCCAATTCTCTTCCAATAGCGGCAAGAAATAAAGATGGAAATGAAACAGCTGACGCGGTTGACACCTGCACCGCCCATCAATTGACCATGGAAACAGTGCGTTCCGAGCAACCGATAACCGCTGTCAAGCACAAGCCATGGCGGGGTTTCAATCGACACCTCAGATCTCAGCACCATCGTATGCGGTGAGGAATAAGAGACTTTCATGTTTAGGCGCTCGTAAAAAACAGTCCAGCCAAGCTGACATTTCTGAAACCAGGGCGTCAGCTGTACAGAGGCAGCCGCCGGAAGAGAGGACAGCCGGCTTGGTGCTCTACCAAAATCCCACTGAAACCGCCTGTGACCAGGGGTTGGGCGTGTTTGATCTCCCGTCTCACAATGCCACCTCAGGCACCACCCGGTTTCGCCTCAACCTGCCATTATGGCTGTGTTTATTAACAGAAACTATACGGGGAGAATATAACTCCATATCTGCGAGACCCTCGCTCTTTTTGGTCCCTTTTCCTTTCCCGCGCACGTTGATCTGGTATCACGAAGCGACACGACTTTCATTTCGAATAATTCCATTCTTACGGTCTTTTTTATTAATTCTTTAATTTTAATTCAGACAGTTCAGCTCTGGTAGCATTCACTTCGATCAAAAAAGTCTCGCAAAACATCTCAGTTTCCCGTCTTATCCGATATATCGAATGGCTTCAATGAATATGGAAGATGCGGCCTTGGATCTACAGCTCTCGCGAATCATTTCCGCCGTCGAACAGACCACGATATTCACAACCATTGTACCCAAGCCAACTGCCCAGTCAGAGAGTACGGCAACTGCAGATTCACCTGTTGTTACAGTTACACAAGAAAGCAACTCAGATAATGGCTCGCCTGGTCAGCCTGGAACCAAGATCTTTGGAGCACTTGAGATTATCATTGCTCTTGGTGTGCTAGGTAAGACAGTCCTCTCATATATACGCTCATGACTAATTGTTTAGCTGGTGTATTGCTTCTCATCATGAGCATCATTCTATGTGACCGACGACGAAAATCTAAGCGAAAGCGAGCTGCTGAGAGATCTCAGAACAGAATGACAGACAAGAGTGCACCACTAGAAGGACACCAGCCACCATCGGGAGCAGTGTTACCAGAGTCAATATGGCCCAGGATGGGGGATAAGAACCAAGCTGTTCATGATTACTGGCACAGCGAAACGTTACGGCAGAAACAAGGCTGGAATCAAGGACAACAAGCCGGCGTGCAACAGGGTCTACCTAGATATGGATAGCCTCGATAGCCAATATGAAATTTGCGCGCAGAAATCAGTAACAAAAAATAATATGGTGCTCTCGAGATTTGCGAGGGTAAAATGAATGAGGTTTGCCTGTTTTCTGCTCTGGGCCATACAGATCACTTGCTGGTGACTGGAAGGCACCACTAAGTCTCACTGCAATCCCAACGGTGTTTTTACACTTGCAAATCCAGTCTTTGTAGGCCTCCACTACGTAGTGTAGTATCAGGATTCGTTGGTGGATACATTACTGCAATATATTGGTCAGCCGGCTTTTGTTTTCAGCCTCACCGGCCAGCTTGTAGGGGACATTCAATCACTGTTGGAAGCCTGGTATTTATTCAAGTTTTGCCAGTGTTCTTTTCCTGTGGGAAGCAGTCTGCCCTGTGAGCCTGAAGCCTGTTTCTGGGGCCGAGTTATGGCCAGACACAACACGTAGGCCCAGTGTTGGCCCATAGAATGGCCAACAGCCATCATCTTCCACAAAACCGACGGATAACAGGCATAATAAAAATGATAAAGGCTATTGAAGGGCCTGATTCAACTGCAACCTGAAGGCCAATTTTCGCAAGGCTGGCGCTTACAACCCTTTTCGCGCCGTCCGCCGGGCGCCATAAGAAAAGGAGGCAACCGGCAAGGCATTTTTTAATCGCTTCTATTTAATGTTGAGCAAGGCAACTGATTTGAACTCACCAAGTCAAAGCCATTAAAAAAGGCGACATTTGCGGTCCTCGGCATCATACTGCAATAGTCTATCTGATTTCTGAACCACACCGTCAGAATGGATGTAATCAGCACAATCAGCGCCGGACAGATCGCAGGACTACTTTTGACGCATGGGCTGCCAGCTATTTCAAGCTTGGTTGCCATCTCAACTGAGCTCAAAGAAGGAAAGGCAGCGGCGCAGAAGGAGATGACGTACAAGGAAATGGAGAAAGCCATACCCAAGGTCCTTGAGCTTATCGAACAAAAAGAGATTCGACTCGTCACCAACGCATTCAACTCCACCCCGCAATTTGTTGCATACTTCCAAGCCGCGGCTGTTGGTGCTGTGCCTCTTATCCTCCTGGATGTTGGGCAATCTATCAAAAGAATTGGCGCAAGTCTCGATGGGATCAAAGACGAGCTCGCAATTTCAAACATAGCCAGAGTTCAAGGCTGGGCTGATGATGGCTTCGGGACATATGTACACCGGTTTGTCCGGAACGAAATGGCCTCGGTGATGGGGCGTACAAACGGAGAGAGTCACTTCTTCTATGTCTGGAACCCCGATACCGCTTGGTATCCAGACTTCGAAGGAAGACAGGCAGCTGATCCTCTGGGTCCCAACTTCGGTGGCTATCATCACGACCTAGCCACGATTTGTGTCAGAATGAGAGCGGACAGACAAGCACTACTCGTAACTACTGAGGCCAACAGTAATATCGTCTTCCATCTCATTATTCCGACTTACTATCCAATTGTGATGGACACGCCTATCGTCTTCGCTACAGAGCTATTTCCGCTCACTATTACCGGAAGCCGACATCGTGGCACGGATCTTGTTTGGTTAAGTCTCGAGGAGTGCCCAGATTTTCTGAGCCCACAGCTCAAATTCATTGGTACATTGACTTTAGTAGGTAGTACATTGAGGAAAGCCGCCTACGTAACCTTTGTGGGTTCTTTGGTTGGCGCTATGGCTTCTTGGATTGCAGCAGTCACATTTCCTCCTTTCGCCCCTGTTGGAGGACCTGTTTTCGCCTCATGTTGTACCAGTGCGTTCGCGTCGGGGGTGGTGGGCGGTGAAGCGGAAAAACAGGAGAGAAGACAGAAGCAAGTGCAGGTTCTGGGACATTCACTGTTCTTGAATTAGATGGGCTTTGAGTTGTCACATGGTGCTGGGCATGTTTTTCTATACTTTGCTTCGACTCGTGTTATGTATAAATGTTTGTCTCTCTATTTATAAGCCCACGATATTAATGCTCCTTATTTCGACCCAGGCTACGATAATTCACTCTGAGTTGAAGGTGAAATTGTGTAGTTGGCTGTTCAACTATTATATTTGATAGGCTAGTTCGAGAATATGCCTTTTGGGGATATTGAAAATTATGTATCCTGATTGAAGGCAAAGTCCACATCTAACTGTTAATCTTAGTCAGTGTTACTAACAAAAACTATCATAACAGTTGTGTAACTGCCTCTGAAGTTAGTAATTCCTCATGCCCAGGGGCAAGAGACTCACGTTGCTCCAGCTACAGCCAACTCAACCGTTTTGGCATTCGTCAACAGAGACATGCAACAGACAAATCCAGCCGTTGATATTATCATGATGGCCAATCTAGCTGATTGACTATCAATCATGTTGCAAATCACAACTGGCGCCAGTAGTAAAAACACAATAAGTGGGCTCAAGATCGCCCGAGCGACTCTCATCGTCGAGGAACGAGAGAATATCTGAACATGAGGATCGCTGGAAACATTCTCAGACTTCTAAGTCTTATTAGCTTGGAGAGTTCAGCGCAGGAATCTGATTCTGCTTACGTTGCTAAAATGACGGACAACCTTATCGCAGATATTCCTTTCTAGCCATGCTACGATACCGTCTTCTCTGGGGCATAAAGATAGTAAATCGTCACTGTTCTTGAGGAACCTTGTTTCAACTCTGGCAATACAGCTATTCCCGGATAGCCACCGTTGAAGACTGGAAACGTACTTCTCATGAGGTGACTCATATTTCAGGGACCGCTGAGTTCCATCCAGAAGCTGGTCTTCGGCAAAATTAGCTAGTTGATTCCTGCAGCGATTGAGCGAAACTCGTACCGTAGGCTGAAAGAGCAGAACGTAGTTTGGTGGTGACCACAGATCGGTCTGAGTTTCTGTCGTCACGGCGAGATGCCAAGAACAGAGGACTCTTTTCTGTCTTGTCTATGTGGTTTAATTGTTCTTCAAGCTCAGCTATCTCATCTTGAGCGAGAAGCAAGAGACGCGTTCGAAGATCTGAGAAGCGTCTGTATATCTGAAATGAGCTATGTCCGGCCATCAAAGCTGAGAATCGGGGGTATCCTTTTCGACGTTCTTCGACTACAGTAATGGCAGTCAGACGTCACTCCCCAATGAAGCAAATATGTATCAAGCTATGATAACAACTTACTTGTAACTCTTTCGGTATGGATCCCCAAGCCCGATGCTTCATAGCGCTGAGATTTCAGGCTGAAAGCTCCTAGAACCCGCCAAGAAGAAGCCCATGTCAGAACCGACAAGGCAAATGTCGGCCTGACTGTCGTCTCAGAGTAGCCTCGTTCGATATCATTGGTCATTTTATATCAGTATTCCAGAGACATGAGTTTATGGCGTAACGTATTGATATATCTTATCAATGTTTCTGGAATTGCATTTATAGCGGCTAGTTGATGCCTGACCACACCCTCAGTTACCTGAGTGCAGCAACATGCAGCACTAGGTGTCAGCCCGCATACGCAAGGTGTTCACCGCCTCACTTCTAAGATGTGTGTGTCAATCATTGGTATAAAGGTCCCGCCTGATCTGCAATTGTCTTGCAATTTTCATGACTTTTACAAACTTCGCAACATCACTACATGCCATTCTGGAGTTGAAAATGAGCACTAACAACGAGCCGTATGTCTCATCTCTGAAATTGTTACGGATATCAGCTAACACATGAAAGTACAAATGACACCACTTTTTTTCTCTCTACGGGATCAGGGATTTACGCATACGGTGTCAACTACAAGTACTTACCCGGAGATAAGGTCTATCTCGTCAATGCTGGAGGAAAGACAGGGCCCTACAAGGTAGAACTTGTCGACGGCGGGAAATACGTTTTATGCGATGATAATGGCGTCACTGCAAATGGTGGCCAGTCGTATCTGGAAGATAAGCTTGAGCTGTATGGTCCTTTTGCCTAAACGCGCGCAAAGCTCTACATATATGTATGAATCAGATAGTTTCACGTGGTCCATTCATACTTTTCATCGCCTCTGTCGCCTGGAAGATCGCTATTTAGTCCCTGCAGCAAACAATCCAAGGGCTCCGTCGCCTCCCGGTTTCTTCTGTGCTCAAGCTTTGGAAAAATCATTCCCAGAAACATGAATGGTCGGCTAGTAATAAATAATTTGACTATATCTTCGGTCCCTGATAATCCTTGGGCTTCTACTGTCATCGTGAAAGGGACTTCATGAGTTCCTGAGTCTTTGTAACCATTTGGCCTTATCATGAGATATGCATGCTCCCCACTCTCAGACATCAGTTACGAATCTCCCAGAATTCAATAAAAAAGTATACGCCTAAGTATAAGGGTATACTAGGGAGATTATTCATCGTTATGCTCAGAGTTTACCCATGTTTGATGTGAAAATACTTGTCGGGACTTAGAGACGTTCTGAGCATTGTAAAGAGAATGATCTTTCCAGGACAGAACTTGACAGCCGGTTCTCGATGCCCTCAAAGAACTTGTACCTGATATGTGATCCAAGACATCAAAAAGAGCTCCAGTATTTTCTTTGGGATCGTATAGGACCTTGGCCACAACATAGGTCTGTTCAGCTGTGAGATCAGAGATCTCACAGTCTTTTAGTGTTTTCTTGACGACATATGCCAATGGTGCTATTTTACTGTCGGTCGAGGATTTGTGGCATAACTTAAGGTAACTAGTTGCTGATTCTGCTTGAACAAGAGCCGCACAGACACTCTTTTCTAGGTCAAGACAAATCTGGATCTTTCGGCGTGATAACGATGCTAAGAGAATGGCCTCCCACGTTGAACCTCTTACAATGCCAGCTTCGTTTTTCTGGTCGAGAGTCTCTATCTTGGATGATAAGCATTCGACTTCGTAGACTCTACAGCGGATCGAAGCTCTATGATTCAGGTTTGTGCTTCGGTCAAAAGGCGTCAAAGCATATTCGTCATTCCTGTGAACTCCATCAGCTTGTCCAGCATGGAGAATAAGGCAGCCATCTTCCATGCTGCGATGCATAGACACCGTGGAGATACTGGTGTGGCTAGTATTATCCACAAAGTCTCCAAATAACGCAAATCTACGATGATCATATAGCATTGGAGTCTGGTCTGGAAGCCGGCAGGGAAATTGTGCTCGAAGATGCTGATGAAGTATCTTGTCAGAGACCTTTGCGCCGTGTCTGGTTCCGTACAAGTACTCGTTCACAAGGGCCAGAGGGTTGACAAGTTCGAGCGCGACTGCACCATCCATCGCCCGACACGAGCCATGACTAGAATAATGGATGTACATGTGGTCGTTTGGTTTGGAAGTCTTGAGAGCCATGTTTTAAAGCTGATACCACATTTTTGAGTGTTATTAATTGATCAGCGCTTTCAGCCGACTTCAGAGGACTGTCTTTCGATTTCGTGGCCGTCAGACGTGTTATATTTACTGAGACGTCAACTCCAATAAGGGTGGCCCATTGTGTAGGTGTTGAGTCTGAAGGACCCATTGGGACTGAATTTCCCAAGACTTTGTGAGCGCTGGTTCAAATATCGAGTTGCGTTTTCAGTTTCATGATTATGCCAGAAAACATGGAAAGCCTCAGTATCACTCTGTGATTTAAAGCTACTATCTTCTCTCGGCCGGATTAAGCTCTCAGCCACAGGTCTCAGCGGCAAATAACACTTCTAGCTCACAACTTAGACATTATACCAAGATGTCTGACCAATTGCTACAGCACAAGGCGATTTAAAGCTACATTCGCACCTACTCTCAGTGCAGTTGGGAGCGCAATGCCCTGTTTTTAAATTCATCTCTTGCAAGTCTTAGACATTTAGGCAGAAATCTGACAACTGAAATGACAAACCTCTCAAGAATCTGTGATTGGCCTCGACGGTGTCACAGCATAAGCAGGCTGTCGTTTAGGCAGGGTGATGATACAACATTGGTGGATTTTAGCTGGTTATTATAGGAAGAGAACAAAGAAGACGGCACTTGATAGGACTATTTCATCGTACCCATGCTTCGTCGGTCAAGGCTATGATACAAGCTCGAAGACGACGAACACCAACGCGAGGAACAAACAAAGCAGTACTTGATGCTATGGAGACTACACCAATACTCTCCCGTTTGGCGTTTGCCAACCAGGAATTGGAAACCGTCAAAGGTGTTTGTTCGTCGATCGGACTAGAGGTTGTTGAGCCTGAGCGACGAAAAGTCGCACTTATCGACTAACTTCACCAGTGCAAGTTCTTCCATTTTGCAGGCCATGGACATATTGACCCCCAAGACCCGCTGAGGAGCTATCTGTGTCTCGAAGTTGTCGTGACTAATCCGCTGCGGGTCGGTGATCTACTGGACTTGAATTTAAAGGATCAGCCACCTTTTCTAGCGTATCTATCAGCTTGTGGAACTGGACGTATTCAACAGGAGCAATTCATGGATGAGAGCGTTCATCTGATCAGTGATTTTCAACTTGCTGGCTTCCAACATATTATAGGTACTCTGTGGGAGGTCAACGACAAGGTTTGCGTTGACATAGCCAAGGTAGTGTATGAAGGAATCAAGGATGGCCGGATGTCAGATCATTCTGTAGCTTGGGGGCTTCATGAGGCGAGCCGTCAACTGAGAGATAAGTGGCTGGAGAAGGTGGATCAAGAAGGGCATAGTAGAGGTGTAAATGATGATGCTCTCAACAATTTTGCCATCAGAGAGCCTCTGGTTCATGGAGTTAGATGGGAAAGAAGACGAGTTCGGAGTAGAGCAAATGCTAAAGGCATGTCGAGATCTTTGGGGACAAGGTGGAGGAGAGTAGCGACAAAAGCATCTGGAAGTGCGCGGGTAAGCAAGAGAATCATGTCCAGGGTCGAGACCAGGGGTCAGAGATAGTCCAAAGAGGCTTCCTTGGCTATCCTCCTGCGACACAAGATCGAGCCATCACCGGCCTGGGTTCCGTTTATTCACTACGGTATCTAGACGTAGATAGCTAGAAGGCCAACAGACTTTAATCATTTTCGTACTCTGCACATTGAAATATTTGGACTAAATGTGATATCGGCTTTACAGCTGTATGGAATAACTCGAGTCTAAGTTACCCCAACATCAAAAGCTTGTTTGATAGGAAGCAGGGGTGGTTCGATAAGCGGTATTTAACAACCCACATTATAGAGCTGTCATTCTCAAATCTTTGATGACCTGCCTGAATGGGGGGGAATAAGATGGTGGATCGGGTGATCTGAGACGACCCTGGTAAAAGCCGGATGCTTAATCGACAGTCCGACACGTCGAGCATCTTGGTCCGAGCGGCTTAGATTTGATATCTGACCACTGTACGGGCTCGGAACCCGTCGGACTCAGCTTGCTGCGCCTTTATGGTGGTACAAATCATACCCTCCGCGAGTTAGCTGTTATCTAACGGCGGTGCTTGCTGTCGACATGCCTTTTCGGGGTGAAATATTCGTCGTGCTAGCAACGAAACCAATAGCGTTGTCACTTGCAAGCCTCTCAACCCCCAGATGAAATTTACGACATGGATCTTGAGGAAGAGTGGTGAGATGGAGCAGGCTATACTTGTCTATGGCTTGCATAATCATCCCGTAAGATTCCTTGGCTACACCAGCTCACAACGGTGACGCTAATACGCGGGGTGCAGCTCAAGTCCCCTGCCACAATCATTCTCGAATCTTCAACGCCTAGCTGCGAGATTTTATAACAGCCAAGTACAGCATGTGCATCTAGACCGCCGGGATTTCTGTACAGGACTTGAACCGGGCCGACGATAGCCTGCCCGTCCCGCGGTGATACTCTGCTGATTGAAAGCGAACCTCAAGCAGGCTCGTCACCTCTGAAAAGAGCATCATCTTCGGCTTTTTAGGAAAGGTGAAAGAGGGGATATACACAACTAGAGGAAACAGAGTATCATTTATACACCACTACGAAGAAAAAGCGTCTTGGCTATCACAGATATAGTGATACGGTGTTATGCCGGGATCTACGCGGTGACATAGTCATTTTACCCCGGATTTTCCCAACCACTAACAATCCGCCTCGTAAAGCCAAGCACCATAGCCAGCAAACACACACCCTTGGCAAATTCACTAGTCGTGGCTCTTTCCTTGGAAGTCCGAAAGACTTTCTTTTTTCAGTCGTAGATCGAGGTCAAGTGAGCTATCGCCGAGCCATTATGGTGCCATGGCATGCAATAGCCTGCTTCTTAATGGCTGCCACCTTTTTTTCACATCCGGTCCGTGGGTGTACCTGACAGCCAGGCAACGTTTCTTTTTATGGCATGATCTGTCAACACCATGTGCAGAATCTCAGACAATATTACTGCAGAAAAAGTGTGTGTGCGGGGATTTATCTCGGGGTCGGAGGGCGCCGCTGTTTGGGGATGACGGTCCGGACGGGCCAGCTGGATTGGTCTTGTGAAACGGAGGGTTTTATATGTTGGTGCGGACGCGAGGATAAGAAGTCGTGCATGGAACGCAAGAATTGGCATCCTCTTGGCTCTTGGCTTTATTCTTTACTTAACAGACAAGACCCTCTCTGATAAACAAGCTTTCTATTCCCAGTTCACATCTTCCCTCAATGGCCTTCTTCAAGACCAAGATGCCTGCACTTGACACTTCACCCGTGTCTTCACCAGTTCTCTATCCATCTGTCACGTCTGACTTTGAAGCTGCGAATCGCAAATATGCAGCAAAGTTTACCCAGTCCCACTTACCATCTCCGCCCCGTCGGTACGTGATCTAACACCCGCGCCCTAGGATCGAGGGCCTAACATTTACCCAGAAAGGTAGCAGTGGTAGCGTGCATGGACAGCAGATTGGACGTTGAGAAAGTACTGGGTCTAGACCTTGGCGATGCCCATGTCATCCGAAATGGTACGTACTCCAATTTTCTTGTCTCACCTGCAAAGCTGACAGTTACAGCTGGCGGTCGTGCTGTAGAGGCACTTCGATCAATCTTGATTTCTCAGCAGATGTTGGGCACGCGTGAGATTATTGTCATGCACCATGTAAGACCGCCTCATTCCATTTTATTCGATATTTTCCATTCCCACGGCAATATCATAAGGCCATATTTTCAGCTGCCCCCCCCCCCCCCCCCCCCCCTCCATGGAGATAGTAACCGGCCCGGCTGACACCCCACGCTTCTAGACCGGCTGCGGCATGCAGAGCTTCTCCGACACAGATTTCCGGTCCAAGATCAGACGAGAACTAAAGGAAGACGTGGACCACATGGCGTTTCTTCCGTTCTCTGATTTGCGGCAGAGTGTTATTGATGACGTTGCCTTTTTGCGCAAGAGCCCATTGATTTTGGATGTTCCGATTACTGGATATGTTTATGATGTCAAGACGGGTCGGATTGAGCAGGTTGATGAGAGGGCTGATTCTGAGTGCTCTAGCCCTTAGGGCTTTTTCTAGCATGCAAATGTAGGATATCTATTCGGGAAAGCGAGCGAGCGTTTGGAGTTATTTAGTTTACAGGTATTGCCAGGCCTAGCCGAGGAAGCGAGTATATGGCTGCAAGTAACTGCAGGGATAAGCCTCACTCAGACACAAAGAAGACCAACACGGGAATGAAAACGGTTACTGCATCGATAGTCTATAGGTTAAAAGAGCCGGCAGTACAATATACAGCCTTTTATTTCTTGAAAAGGCCTTTCTAGTCGCTTTTGATCAAGTAAACTTAAATTGTCATAGCAACAACGTTTAAATGAAAGATACAGTCTGTACAACCCTACGCCTGTACTACAGCGGGGTACTTCCAAGCCATCCATGCAATCCATGACTGGAGTCCACTCATCAAAATCGTTACAATCCCGACCAATATCGAGATACCAACAGCCAGTAGAGCAATAGAGAAAGCATTACCATCCGTACTTCTACGGTCAAACCAACGTTCAAGTTTGTTTTTTGGTGGCCGTCTCTTCGCAAGCTCATACAACCTGGCAATCCGCTCTCCCCAGTACATGTATCTCACTCCCTTGTGGAAGACATTGTAGCCGTCGTACTCGCAACATTCAGGGTCAAAGCCGTTCCTACTAATCAGATTTCGGAGGATCTTCCCGGACCGATGATCTGTGAGAGGGAAGAGAATGTCTTGCAACGAATGTAAAGTCTCAAACAGGAGCTGGGGCGGCAGAGTTCCACTGCCATCAATATTAGCTACGGAATGATTCTCCTGTTTGTAATAGGTAACTTGAATGAGCATACCGGCCTAGACTTTCTAGCGCAGTTATATCTAGAGGGCTCGCATGGCTTTGAAACTGCTCTAAATGTGCTTTCAAGTAGGCCACCTGATGGAAGAGATAGAGCGTGTTATCTTTCTCATTGAGAAGAAGGTGGCATGAAAGGTCATTTGTGGGCAGAAAGCAGATCCCCAGCCTTTTTTTCAGCTTCCAAGCTTTGAGCTTTGACTTGTGACCAATGATGTCCTCAAACCTTTTGTATGGTTGATCGGGGGCACAGGGAATTGATCTTTCGATGAACGAAACAAATGACTCTTGTGGTAGCCATGAAGTGGGATGGTATCCTCCAAGCACGAAGTTTGCGGGGTGCCATTCTTGAGCCGCCGAGTCAATCATCACCATTGCTTGTACTGCTCTGTTTACGATGTTGCCGACATTCTGTCCAATCGCCCGATTCTCGTGAGATATTTGAGTCATGGTCTCTTGTCTTGTCTTTTCTATGTTATTTCTGAGCAGTATGGCGGTTGATAGCATATGCTGATGGGTAGGTGAGGAGGAAATATAATTGCAACTAAATGTGCTTTCCTTGAGAGATAGTTCGTCGAAGAGCGTGAAGTAAGCTTCAAACTTGCCCTTCCTTCCGAGAAGTTTGAGAGAAATCTCATCTTGCTCCTCGGGCGTTGTTAGTCTCATTTTTGCGACAAGGAGAATGGATTGAGCCGCATCTCACGTTCCCGAGGATCAGGGTATTAAATATTCGTTTCCCAGGCCAAGACTCAACGGAATTACTACCTGCACTTCATCCCACCACTCCAAGGCTCGCGCAGTCCGCCTGTCAGCATTGCCTCGAGGACCACAAATCCTAATCTGACCGCACACATATTTCGATATTCGATTGGCCACCTGTCAAGCCTCGTTGGGTATCAATACATAATTACAATTACAATGTAATTCTTAGTTGAGCCTCAAAGTCCTAGGTGGTGAAGAGTTACCATATGTCGCCCCATCAGTTATTGATCTCTGAACATCTTTCCTTGACATCATTCAGCCTCCAGCAATCAGACATGCGTCCATACCATGGTATGGGGGCATCCAAGTGACGAGAACGCCTCTTTCAAGGATAAACTTGCACTCAAGTTCAAGACTTTATTTGAGAAGGGTTTTCAGAAGAAGAAAGGTTCCGAGGCAATCCGACCTCTACAGGATCCTATAAATATCCATCGAACACACTTTTACCAGAGCCTGAGACAATCGCACCGAAGAGTCGCGATTCAAGCATTCTTATCATCTCAGTCGACGCAATCGCAGCCTTTTGAACAGCACGCAGCAGCACCTCAGGTATTTCAGAGATCCTCTTATCACACGAGCATACCACTCACTGCAGATTCTTCCCGCCAACAGACAAACACAAGCGTCAAGGTGCTGCCTCAAAGTCGCAATATGATCTTTTACGACCTTCCGGTGTCCTCGGCGACCTGCTCAGCGGAAGAGTTCCAAAACAGGTTTCAATGCGTCACAAATGAATTGAGGAAGGTCGTCGCTGAACATAATGAACTTCGTATGTGCGGTCGACATATCATCTATAGTCGCCATATGATTGGCGACTCGAGGGATACGGCCGTACCCTCTATACTTATAGAGTGTCGAAAACGAGATCTCAAGATGTTGAGAGAGCTCTTTAACAAGCACGCTGCGACACTCTGTTGTCGCAAGGACTCAACTTGGCCAACCCTGGTACATCACAATCTTCCGTCGTCGAAACCGTCATTCCAGCTTGTCTATTTATCGCACGCATATCAAACTATAATACAGCACGCGGCTAATACCCCTGGAGCGGTCAGCAACTCATCATACGATACATTCTGTGGTTCTCTGGTCCAGTATGAGGGCCGCGTAGCCACCATCGGCCTGACAATTATCGTCGATGGCATAAGTCACATGATGACTGTCGACCATCTCTTCAATAACAGCCTGGGAGATGAGAACTCCCTTTTCACTAGTGGTGATGAGCCAATTCATCGCAGCAGCTCTAAGGGGGAGTCAACATGTGCGCGTCAGGACACTTCCGTCATTCCACCAAGTCTTCATCCAGAGCATGAAAAACAAATTTTGGACTTTGGTCATAGCAGCGCGTATGGGAGTGCAAAAGAAGAGAATCTTAATGCGTCGTACACGAAGGACCGCCCTCGATCTCGCCTTGCCGAGTGCCTGGTGGGCCAACCCGTTCCTTTCCCACATACATTGGATTCCCCAGCACCATACTTGGACTGGGCATTCGTAGACTTGAACAACTCTTCAGCGAACTTCCAACTACCTAACACTATCACGCTTGACTCCATGTCGAGCCCTGTACTCCTTCGCGAAGTATCGAAACAACCGCTGTCTCATACCACATTGGTGTACATGATTTCAGGAATAAATGGCACAAGAAAGGGCTGCCTATTCAGTGGCCTCAGTGAGCTTGGTCCACTACAGGATCGAAGTCCATGTAGAGCCTGGAAAATGATACTGGATTTTGGTCAAGGTAAGAAATGTGTCTGAGTCTTGCTTAACTATTACTAAATCGATATGTCAGGTCTCGAGCCAGGAGAGTGCGGTTCAATCGTTGTTGACCAGACAACCTTCGATATATATGGGCATGTTATCGGATCCAACATTATTGGTGATGTTTTCGTTGTTCCACTTTCCGACACTATTGAACAAATCCGAGTTGCTTTCAATGCAACCATTGTGACTCTGCCCTCACAGAACCTTCTTCTGCCACTTCACAACAATTCTGAAGAGACCATGACTACACAGCCCAAGTTTTCTCTCAATGAATTACACTCAGCCGCTACGGACACTCATATTCACTCCGGTTCCGCAAAATCCTCTCTGGGATCCTCCCCACTAACAAAGATATGGAGGGGTCCGGATCCGAGAAGCCACAGCGCCCACTTCCGCAAGTTTCAAATACCCTTTCGTCCAGACAAGGAGGGCACTTCACTCCTGCAAACGTTGAATGAGGCGGGAGTGGGAGTGCTGGATGACGAAGTGGAAGTTCCAGCCCTTCTATTTAGCTATCCGCTCACAAAGGTTACAGAACGAAGCATAGAGCGTATACGAGACTTTTGCTGTGGTGCTTCATTCGCTCTAGACAAGTTCGTATCTCATCCACTTAGCTCAGGTCCATACGCAAGCTCAGATACCAGGACTGTGGATTCAAGCATAGAAATCCCGTATTTTGCGGTTGTCACTGATGTAGGTTGGTGCCAGAATACACTGTCTTATACCAGTCAAGACAAACCACTGGCATCAAGCCTGAGGCTAAACGAGATGCTGAAAGAACAGGTATGTGCTCAGGAATCTTCTTATCAGCATGTAGAAAGGGCTTGTGGCTTATCCTTTCAGCGATTTCACATAGGACCAGGACCAGGCCCGGCCTTGATAAAGCAACTCAGGCGAATGTAGGCAACGTATAAATATCGTAACATGTCACTGAGCTGACAGCTTGAACTAGTTATATCCATAATCCAGATGGGGCTAGTGTTATGGCTCTCATCAGGACCATGTCCTGCCGTCAAGTAGCCATTCTCCGTCCAATGATCATGTCCTATGTCACGACAAAGATCGACCCGTACATACAGATCAATGAAACCGTAAGTTAATATAAAACCAAGATTATAGCGCATTTTGACTAACAGTCATTTGTTATAGCAATGGGGGGAATCATGCCAGCATCATCTCAGGTTTCAGTTTCCCTTCTTTACACTTATTTCTGAAGGTTATAATGACCCCCGAACCATGTCCAAGACAGGAGAGCCATTCAGAACTCGATTGAGCCTTTCCTTTCTTACCGAAAGCCATTCGGGGACTTTATTTTGCCAAGATAGCCAAGCCAGTCTCTGTGAATCAGTAATCTCTTTTGGGATCGCTGTACATAGCATTGATTACTGGGACGTGTACTGCTTTGAAGACGGTGACACGAGTACATCGATTTTTGGATTTGACTTCGAGGATGACGAATCTGGTTCTGAAAGTGATTCCAAAACACCTGAAGAAATGCTCAGACACTCCCCCCGAACCTTTTTCCTGCACACAATGAGTTTGAGTCTCGATCGTGTGCTGGACCAACACACCATGATCTTGGAAGTATTCCAGGACTTTAGCAAGAGGCAAGAGCGTTACTTATCGGTAAGTATTTTCTCTGGCAAATTCATGATCGCGATAAACAGGACGTGGACAAGCATTAACTATTTCCCAGAAGAGTGCTAAACAACCGAATCAATTCGCAGACAACAGTCGTCGGCTAAAAGAAGCCCTCCGTCAAGTGCTCAATTCGATAACAGTTCTGACACGTAATATTCAAGAATTCTTATCAAATGATCCCAGAAAGGACCTTGAGGATGTCCCCAACGGCGGTGACTTTGCAGATGGGAGTAAGCCAAATGACATGGAAACACTCCTTCGTCGCATAAAATCGTTATGTGGTCGGCTGCATGACGTTCAGCTCGCCTACCAACAACTGCAAGCTAAATTGACTTCCATAAGTCGTGAGCAGGAAGAGCTAGTGAGGATGCGTCGTGATAGATCAAGCGAAGAGTTCATGGTGGCAGCCTTTGTCTTCGGAATTCTCACCCTTATAGCCCAAATCTATGGAGCATATGGATCTAATAGCAACTGAGTACCTTCCTACTGTTGACGGATAGCGTCATTGAATTGCTGATATTATATAATCCACCTTACCTCGCTTGCACGACATAGACTTCATTATTGTCTTCATAGCCATGTCTCCGACATCATAAATTCATGTCCTTGTGCAACCTAAACCAGTTGATCGTTTTCCATGAAATTTTGGAACTTGGGCTGCTTCTGTCACAAACTGCTGAGACATGGCAAAGCAGAGAACTATAATCAGTGATGACTGATAATCCGATTACTACAGAGTACGAAAAATGAATCATTTGACGTAACGTTGAGGTGTCCATGTTTGTGGTATTCCTAAATAGGCCTAGAGGATTCACGTTACGTACGGTTCGTGTTAGTAACTCCCGCTGCGATAAGATTAGTGATTGAAATATGTGTAAAGGAAAATTTCCCACTGGCTAATGCTATTAGAAATCATTCATTAATCAATTTTGAGGGGTATTGGAGCGGGGAAATCTGGCGTTGAGTTTCTGGGCGTACATGTAGGCTGAAGAATCGGGCTATTGCTCACCGAGATATATCAACCGGCACATGCCCCTCTTAGGTGTGCTCGGTCTACTACAATAGTTTTTCTATCACATTTGATTTATCATAATGCCTTCAAGAACAACTGACACGCCAAATGAGTGGTCCGAACCGGCGGATATCATCTCTCGGTTCTTAGCCTTGCAGCAAATATACAGCGCCAAAGAATTAGACTCATATCTCCAATCACGGCAACGCAACCAAGAGCACGAAGCGGATCCCGAGAATGGATTTACTGATGTCATCGTTCTTTGTGCATCAGCAATCCTGGCTATCCCTGAGGCCGTTTTCGAGTGGGCGGTGGAGCAGCAGAGCCAAAATGAGGAACGCGAAATAAACACAGTACTAGTGCTGTGTGGCGGTATCGGACCTTGTACGCCATTCGTTTACGACGCTATCAGAGCGAGCAAGAAATACTGCACGATATTTGACACGATAAACGGCAAACCTGAAGGCGAGGTGTTGAAAGTCATGGCGGAACGCTTCTATAAACTCAAGATCAACGAAACTGGAAGCCAAGATCATGGCTTTCGGATCCTAGTTTCCGACCGTTCAAACAACTGCGGAGCAGATGCATCAGAGGCACAAAAGGTTTTAGAAGAGAACGGCATTCGTTCCCCAAGATCTATGGTTGTTGTGCAGGACCCAGCCATGAGCTGCCGGACGATATCTTCATTTGAAAAAGTCTACCAGAATGATACCGTCCGGATTTCGTGCTGGCCACGGCTGAAGCAAACAAGAGAGGCTCAACAAGAAAAGGCGAGACCTGAGAAAGATGTCCGAAGGGAACTTTGGTCTATGGATCGCTTTCTGGATAGGATCATTGGTGAGCAAAGTGGAGTTATTAGAGCAAAGTCACCTATTGGCATTCCAACCGAGGTGGAAAATGCGTGGTCAGCTATAATGGACGAGAACAGCTCAAAAGTCTTCTCATGAAAAATAAACTATAATTCTCATTATATTGTCGGGTTTGGTATTGACCGGGAGCAGTTCCGGTTCTGACGTCAATGTTTTCATGTAATATCTCATATCGGCGCCGTCCGAGATGCAGATATCAGATCAGGCTGCGACATTATTTTCCGTTTCACAACGTCACATGATGCACATCATCCTCAACCCAACCCCACTGATTGGCTCCTCACCAAACATTCTCGAACCATCACCAGAAGCAAATCTCTTTCCCGGTCCCGGATCTTGTCGCAACACCATGGCATCACTACGCCGTTTCAGCCTCGTCTTCTACGTTCCACCCACCAATGCCTCCGCATGCAAAGCCGCCATCTTCAAAGCCGGCGCGGGCCGCTATCCCGGTCCTGGCGGGTATACTGAGTGCGCGTGGCAGACGTCGGGGATTGGACAGTTTAGGCCGGGAGATGCGGCGAATCCGGCTATTGGCAAGGTTGGGGAGTTGGAGGAGACGCCGGAGGTTAGAGTTGAGACGTTGATTATTGGGGAGGAGACGGTGCGGAAGGCTGTTGCGGCGCTGAAAGAGTAAGTTTCAAGGTTCGTGAGAAGAATAAAAGCTAATTTCGTAGGGCCCATCCGTATGAGGAATGTCCGTATCAGGTCTATCGGGTAGAGGACTTTTGATGAAGACATCTGTGTTTGGTCGGTACGGCGGCAAAGTGAATCTGCATCAACATGCTGTATTTCGGGCTTGATGAGATGGTCCTTTACGACTCACGGAAGAAATGAGTTAGGTTTTTCATTGGAAGCATTCATCTTTATCTTCACAGCAACTATCATTCAAATTGTCTTAAAATAAAGAAACGAAATTAGGGTATTATCAAAAACCAAGTCTTCAAATCGCCATTTTCATGATCTTTACCTCAAGTTCCAACATCATGCAACAAGAACTTTTGTCTGTGGTAAGAGAGTTGTCCATCTCTCTCCAGGCTTTCTGCTCCACATCCGCTTCAACGCCTCAATGCCCTTCAGCAAATTTCCAAATCCACTTCGTGCATGATGTCTTCTCAAAACATTCTCAAAATAAACCTTGTGCTCTTCAAGCTGCGCATCTGAAGCTGCCACAAAGGTCGTCCAAACCAACATATGAGCTACTGGAGAAGTTTCTGGAAATTGTTCTAATGCTTCGATGAAGCGCTGGACCCGTGCTACTGACTCGGGATTGGTGGGTATAGGATCTAGATCGAAGAAGTTGGATGTATGGTCGGAGAGGACTTGTTGAAGATAAATATCTCGAGCTTGATACACGAGACTTGTGACTTGTGAGAAGAGCGGCGTATGCTCTGGATAGAGCTGGAGGCAGTGGTTGAGACAGCCAAATAGCTGATCGGTTCGGGATTGGGATGAGATCATCTGGAGACCTGTTTCTTCACCAAGATGCGGAGCGGCATATACTCGGATCCTGTGACACTGTTAGAATGCCTGTTTCTATTCGGTATTAGTTGTATGTACTTACTTGTGAAGCTCTCGCATGATGAAACCAGCTAATATGCCAGTACCCAGCCCTTCCTTTCCGCCAATAGCGTCCAGCGCTGACTCGAGCATTCGAAGAAGAACAGGAAAATCTGAGCCTCCCGTGACGAGCACAGATGTCATTAGTAGCAAAAGGCTGATGAGTACCGAGTGCTGTGTAGTTTGGTTGTTGCATATGAGTTCCTGACGTTGTCGTAGACCTTGAAGAGTTCGACCCAGTAGTTGATATGGATCTGGGACGTAAGTATCATATTTGTTGGTTCCAAAAGCAATATACTGCTTCTGGTTCTTCTTAAAATTATTATCGAGCTTGTTGATGTGGAAGTGAAAGGCTGAGACTGTGAGGACGGCATCCATAACTAGTTCGTCTTGTTGAGCGAGCGGAAGAAGGAGGTGACGCCAGTCGTTGTGAAGGCCGTCGATGGCTACCATCTCAGTCGATATGCAGCGTGAGACTAGAATGTGTAAGTACCGGGAGAATGAAGTGAATACCGGACTTACATGTCATGAATAGATTCCTCTTCCACGCTGGCATGTTATCTGGAACCCCCTTCAAGAAGAGTGTCATGAAAACCTCACGGTCTGCAGGCGATTGTGAATTTGCTAGGACAAGATCATAGATCCCAGTGTCTGATGTGATATACTCTATATCATCGTCTTGTTGATCATCATTGTCATCATGATGAGTTTCCGTGAGTTCCGGGTTTGTATCTGCGGCTGAACTTGATGCCGACGATGCTGATGCGTCCTTGTCAGCTGAAGAGACCTTCCATTCATTCCTGTGATGAAATCAGTATGTTGCATGGAGGCACGAAGATGATATTGCACATACTCTTCATAAACCCTGTCGATAGTCTTGCCTGCCCACTTTCCCCTCGCAGCAACACCCTTGTTGAACCGATGTCGAATACCAAGGCCACTGCAACTCAAGCCTCTAGAAGTACACTTATCACAGCTCGGCTCATTTCTATCACAGTGAATACGTCGCTTCGAGCATTCGTGGCAACCTAGTCACATGTTAAAACCTTGCTAAGTCAAGATGGCGTTGTACTGACCCTTCGTCTTTGGTACGTATGCACGTTTCTTTGGCGGCATCGCAGGTATCGGATAAAGCCGAGATGAGCTAAGATGATCGACGCTCGGCACACAAAACTCGGTATCTCAGGCGAGATAACAGCTGGTACTTGCGTGGCTGGGGAAGAGTCAAGGGGAAAATTCCTCTGTCTTTAGAATTTTGCAAGCATCAATGTTGGGGATCCGGAAACTATGGCCGACGTTGCGGGGAATCGGTTGGAGCTTTGTCTCCGCAAATGCTGGTCAAAGATTGGATGGGCACTAAGCCAAAAATGGAGGGTAAAATGAGAGCACCAGTGGTACGTTAGACTCGGTCAGGTCACTGGTGGCTGTCTTGAGCGGGTAGCTGCATGTCTCTTCGGCGCTAAGTACGGATGCATACGTTAAGGCTCTCCGTCTTCACTGCAATTTTAACACGCTCTGGAGCCTTCCGGATTAGGCATTCCTGTCCAGGATCCACGGTAATAATAATGGTGAAGTATTATGAATCTTGAAAGGGAGAAAAGAAACCATCCGTAGGCCGGTGTATATGCCATCTAATTGATTACTTCTTCAAAGCCTAGTGCTGCTATTTGCTTTTTGTACTCTTGTTGCTGCCGTATGTCCTGCACTTATTAGTCACGCTCCATTTCTATTAATGGAACCTCGTACCTCTTCCACAGTATTGTTGATGATATATCTCGTAACTCGAACTTCGCTTTGTTGCCCGAGGCGGATGGCTCTGGAAATCGCTTGGCTCTCGACGCTGGGATTCCATTGTAGTTCTGTGATGAAGATTCGATTTGCGCAAGTCAAATTCAGCCTAGAATAATGTAAGTCTACGGATCCCACTACAAGAGTAATTGACTTGCCCAAATGCTCCGGTTCCTGTTGTCATGATAAGAACAGGAGTCTCATCCTCGTTATCAAACTTAAGGAGCGTAGCCTGTCGTTGGTGCAGTGGGCTCTCGCCGTCGAGTTGAAGGTATGGAATTTTAGCCTGTTCCAGATGTCTTGATATCAAATACAGCGTTCGTGTCCAGCAAGAAAAGATAATACTGTTGATTGTTAGAATATCACAGGAATTCGATATAGGCATACCTTTTTGTTTTCCATAGATCCTTTTGAACATCCTCAACCAAAGCCCGTATTTTCGTTGAAAATCCTTGTTCGTTGAAGTAACTCTCGTGATCATCTTTTGCAGCAGCACCCTTCCTCCGTTTCTTCGGTCTCTCACCGTTTGCCAAAGCTTGCTCATCTCGAGGAACAGAAGATTCTTTGAACCATCTGATGCAGACGGGGCACCGTCTTTGTGCCTCAGGTAAGTGCATATTTGACTCCTCAATGCACTTCGAGCATAGAATATGTGAGCATTCGTCATCAAACATTCTTTTCGTTAAGTCGCGTCCAAGTATCGGCATCGGCTCCTCACATCCCACGCAGGATATCTCGCCATATTGACCAGCAGTTCCAACTACGGCCTCTCGCTCTTCCAAAAGGCTTCTTCGATGCCATGAGAAGAGCTTTTGATATGTTCCGTGGTTGCAGACAATTCGCAGCTGAAGCCACATCTGGAACATGCCAAACTGTGAGCTCTTTTTGACTTCGCCCATGCGATGCTGCATGTTACGTAGAATGACAGCCTTTGTTTTGTCGTACTGATCTCGCTCTTGCGGACTGAAATCCAAATGCCGGACAAACTGCCTTGTTTTGGGTAAGTTGAGGACCTCTCTAGTTCGGCGAAGACACAGTGCTTCGAGGAGTAGGACTAGGCGATCCCTTACGAGCTCCGGTTCGTCGAATGAGTTATCGAATGGTGTTTCTATCCACTTTCTGAACTCGGATGCCTGGTCGAATGGTTCGGCGCGAATGAAGCGGAACAGTGAGCCAATATCGGTGAGCTTATTTTGGATGGGTGTCCCAGAGAGGCACCACCGAGAGTTGGCGTGGAGATATTCACACGCCTGGAAGAATTTGGTGGATGGACGACGGATGATATGAGCTTTAAGCCCCCCCAGTTAGTCAGGCATCTCGATAAGCGCAGCAGCAAGATGGCTCACCTTCGTCAAGGACTATTCGATACCAGCCCAATTGGTATAGCGGTGAATTCTTTCCTTTCCCTACTAGATACTCGGCAGTGAGCGTATGGTATGTTGTCACTACGATATCTGGGTCTTCTAGCTCTTCGGCGGTCTTTGGTCTCTTTTCGCCATGGTACTTAACCACTCTGATACCGTTCTGTAGGTGCCTGTACGGGGTCAGAAATGTCCCCCTAGTGAAGTCTCGTGACACTTACTTCTTCACCTCGTTCATCCACTCATCGACCAATACTGAGTTCGTCAGTAGCTGAATCAAGCGTGATAATGAGGAGAGACTCACAAGCTGCTGAGACTACAACCAGGGTAGAACGAGAGAATTTGAGAGACCTCCTGCTCTTATGCTCTGCATTTTTGCCCTCGGCCCACTCTTGGCCATTTTCAAGAGTTTTCATGATCAAAGCGAGGATGGAAAGCGACTTTCCCATCCCCATGTCATCGGCAAGAATACCGCCGCCTTTCTCCTCTGGCCGTATATCCTTACGTCTCTTAATGATTCTATGTCGATATTGGACTTTCCCATCGCCATGCTTGATCTCTTCCCAAAGTCTGTACCTCTCGTTGATGTGCCCAGACTCTCTCTCAAGCATAAAACCAAGTGCTTCCTTCTGATGTCTATTGCCTTATTAGCACCACGGTCAACTGGGCTCTAGTTCGGGTACGCTACCTTAGCAACCGACGGGTCACCCTGTCACCACCTTCAACCATCTCAAGTTCGCGGTTGTTCTCGACTGTTTTGTAGACCTCATCCACCATCTTCCGCAGTTGATCTTCCTTGCTAACTTTCTTCAGGGCGCTATCACTGACAGCCAGTCCAGTAATCTGGACTTCATCGATCCCGGTATCTTGGACGCTAATGCTCAAGAAGTGCGGATTCTCGTAAGCAACACCATGTCTTCCGTGGCTAGATCTCTGAAGCCACAGCTTTCCATTGGAGAGCCTTTTGCCAATATCCAACGCCTTAGATCGCAGGCCATAGATATTTATGTCGACTTTCACCCTAGCATCCGCGGGTTTGTTTGCGCGGCTTATGACCTCTCTCAGATCGCATCTCAGAGCCAGTGGCTGGATATCGACTGAAGGTTGCGTCATCAGAAGTAAGAGAGTCTGGCCTGCGGCTAAAGGCAGATGTCCAAAATGATCCCCATCACCAGGGAAGCTAAGCATAAGTTGTTTCTGATACTCCGTTGGCGTAAAGCACTGATAAGCTGAGGTTTCTGCTGCCAGTCTTTCATCTATGGATGACATGTCGACAGGCACTAGTTTCACTTCGATGTTATGAAGCTAAATCAAATGAGTGACAAGCCTTAGCTGAGTAACATGATTGAAGGTGTATGTAATTACCATGCCGTAATGAACTATGACGTCGACATCTTCCGGTAGTGTTATGGGTGTTGCATTTGACCGACTTGGCACAGAAACCTCAGGTGTCATAGCCGACCCTTCCCGAGAGCTTTCGGTGGGTAACTGAAGGAATTGGAAGCTTTCAAGAGAAGTAGGCATGTCTAAGGGGAAGCTCTCTGCATCATTGGGGTGAGGCGTATTCTGAAAACCGTTCATGTCGAAGTCCATATCAAAATCTACCTTTCCAAGTTGTGGGTCAACGTCTAGACCATAATTTTGAGAATATTGGTGCATAGAGACACCTTGTTCTGGAAATAGAGAATCGCTGGTTTTTATCATTAGTCATAGATTGAATTGATATGGAAAGCTACATACATCTGAGTGTTTGTAAGACTCGACTTGAGGTAGTTATCAGCCTCAAGATCGTCTCCATTTAGAGCCCACCAAAATGCTTGTGAGGTTGCATCAATCGATCCATTGTTACCGAGCATTTGCGCACTAAACGCATCGCCGATGTAGGGATCTTGGTCTTTCTCTACTCCCAGCTCGTCGCTAGCGTGAGACACATGCTGCTTGTCGTCACTTAAGGGATTAAGAAGATCCCGCAAGTTAGACGTATTGTCGATATTTCGAACTTTTCAGACGCAATGAAAAGTGTCTGATTCTGAACGGCGTACTGCTGAAGTATTAGAACTTTGAAGGCCAAGTCCTTGCTGACACACGGGAAATACAAGAATCAGGCTGTGTAAGCGCGTGTTCCATGCAGGAGATCCCTGAAGTCTTTGACCCAACGTCGAATCAGAACCTCTGTTTTCAGCCCACTGCAGCTCGCTTGGCCAAAAAGGCAGACCCGCCTTATCATATCTGGTTCGCTGTGCAGGTGTGTTGCCCAGCGATTGGATGGTAAGGCTTGAAAATGTAACACCGCCATTAAAGGCTCCCAGCAAGGCGACTTTGAGGCTCTCCTCTCTACAGTTAGGCTGCCCTTGGGTCCTTCACCGCTGGTCCTGTCTTTCTCATTATTTTAGTGGCCTTTTAATGCTGGATCTCCAAGGGCTTAAGCCAGTGTCACTCAATCGCTCATCACGATGGACCGGCTTTATGAATTAGCTGACGGTTTCAGGAGGTCCCTGAAGTCCCACCACGAAGAAGAGTTCGAAAACACGACTGATGGAGACATGCGAAAAGAAATCCGGGATATTCAATTGTTACGAGATAAAACAAACAACATGATGGATATGAATCGACTGCGGATGTTTCTTGACGGCATGGAAGAACTCGAGAAAGTCCTCTTGCAGCTCGAGTTTCCTGGCACGAGAGGTGTGATGTCAATGGTTTGGGGCTCAGTGAAGTTCTTACTGAGGGTAATTGTTGGCCTCCGGTTCATACACGGGACGCAGCTAAACGCTCACAGACTACCAACACTACTGAAAAGGCTTTGACGGAGTACTCGATGTTTACGGACTCCTTGGAGCTCACCTCCTGGCCTTGACTCAATTCAAGGAGTTATTCCAAAGGTTTCCGCCCGCCATAGAGTGTATAGTAAATATCTACGGTGACATACAGCGGTTTCATTCCACAGTATACAAGCTTTTCTCACTTACAGCAAAGCGTAAGATATCCTTTGCAAAGATGAGTCTCACTCTGCTGACTTATTAAAGTATGGCAACGGCTTCAGAGATCGGTTTGGGATGACGCGAACGCCCTATTTTCAAAACTATCCGTCTCTCTAGGCTCACACGCTAAGTTCATCAAAGGACATTATTCCACACAAGGTGAGTTTCTAAGCCACAGGAAATCAACGGAAAGACCTAATTTCTAAAGACTATAACTCCCTTCACGCGGCCTTCCAGCAATACTCATATGGCCTCAAGTCAACCTGGAAAAACTTCGAGACCGACGAAATAGTCCGACGCCGTGAAAGAAAGTACGAAGTGACTCAATGGATCACCTCTTCTCGGAAGATGCAACGATTGCATAACGAATTTCGCGAGATGGTGATCTGCCCCAAGAGTGGTCGTTGGCTTTTCCGAAACTACAGCGATATTTCAGAATGGATGGGAGAGGAAGACCCTCCTCACTCAGCCATATGGCTGCATGCGAACGTCGGATATGGTAGGTATTCCCCAGAGACATTCAATACGATGCTGATGAATCCAGGCAAAACGGTACTTGCATCACTAATAGTTGATGAACTAAAATCATCGAAACTCCATAATACCATGCCCTCGTTTCCAGACGACGGTAAAACATGCTACTTTTACTGCCAAGAGAACGACATTGAACACAGAAACCATATTGATATCCTGAAAGGCATACTACTGCAGATGGTAGAGGCCGAGGACTATATAATCCCATATTGCTACCAGGAAAAGGTCTCCAGTGGAGGCTCCACCCTAATTGATGCAAAACTGGCTGAAAAGCTCATCAAGACTTTCATCGAGTTCTCTGTAAGGCACTACATCGTGATAGACGGAGTAGATGAATGCCATGGAGCCGAGATTCAACAAACTGCCAAGTTCTTTAAGGATCTGGTGTCGGCATATGATACGCAGATTAGATTGGGGCATCTGAGAGTTCTTTTCATCGGCCGAGAGACATCTGATACTAAGCATATACCTGGAGATGATTGCATCAGTATAGCGCTCAGGCCCGAGGACAACCACGACGATATCAGAGCTTTTGTGGAGAAGAAACTTCCAGAGTTCTCAAAATCAAGTCACCGTTTGGGTTTCAGTCTTTCCGAAGCTGATAAATCAGATGTTGAACGCATAATATGTCATCAAAGCCAAGGTCAATATGGAATACACCGTACTACTGCAGATTCAGGCTGATCCACCATTCATTTTAGACTCTTTTCTCTACGCACATCTAGCCATCGAGTTCCTTCTACAACAGGATACCAAAGGTGGCTTGCTAACCCTACTCAGACAAGGGATACTACCCACGAAGCTAGGAGACATGTAGGCACTCTGATACTAGTACTTGACTTCAACTTACCATTTCAGGTATGAAAGATTGCTGGACTCCGTCAAGAGTAATCTCACGGCCCAACCAGGAGGTTACACGAGGTGGGAGAGATCAAAGCTGCTCTTTGGATGGCTGATATGTGCCAAACGACCACTTAGATGGAACGAGATACAAGCAATTTTATGCTTCGACCCTCATAAGCTTCATATAGATTTTGAGAATGACATGTTACGACAAGATATGGAGACGTATCTCGGCTCCATCGTTCATGTCCTTGACGGAGGCTATATTCGACTGATTCATTCAACTGCATGCAGGTTAGTCTTGTCTGAGAAGCGTTAATGGCAAGTGGCTAAACCTTTGTTCTTCCAGATATATCATAGAGAACAGGCATATCAGTGAGAAGCAAGTTCAGTGCCAGCTGACTACTATGTGTCTCAGATACTTGACCCTTCCTTGCTTTATCCAGGACATCAACTACAGAGAGCACCAAAGAAGCGAGCATGCAAAATTGGGCTGGTTCGCTTTCCAGGATTACGCGTGCGCCCATTGGCTTCATCATACCGACACCTTGATCAGAGAGTGCAGTGAGGTCTTTACCTCTGAGACCTTTCGAAATGTTGCAGCAGAATTCACATTTGCTTTGAAGCATTTTGTCAATACCCATCGTGCAGACTTAACCACCATCAAGCACGTTGAATTAGTCGCGGACCACATAGAGAAGTTCGTCGACTTGGAATTCTATGAAGACCTTTACTTTCTCTGGAACCACATGTACACTCACCAGCGAGGGGATTACGCGACGCGAAACGCCGTTGGCATTAAGCAAATCGAGAATGGACTTAAAGACAATAGAACGCAACTAGAAATTCTCTTTGTCAATCACCAAAAAGTCGGTGATGAGGATACTGTTGACGACTATTATGGCTCAAAGCCTTACAAGTGTAATCGCACACTCTGTCGTTTCTTCCATGCCGGCTACAATAACGCACGAGACCGAGATAATCACGGAAAGCGACACGAGAGACCTTTTCAATGCCCCATATCCTGCAACGCTGCTCCTCTCGGTTTTGTAAACAACAGGGACAGGGAACGGCATGTCAGTATTTACCATGCGGAACTTGGCGAAGGCCCCCCCATCTTTGAGACCTTGAGCCGTCGACAGGTCTCCGGAAGATTCGTGTGCCAAATTTGTAACAAGACATTCACGAGAAACATCAATCTCAAGAGCCACGAGCGAAGTCATTTTGGAGACAGGCCTTACTCTTGCACGACCTGTAGGAAAGCCTTTGCTAGGATTAATGACTGTCGAAGGCATGAGAAGATACACGCGAAGAGGGGATATTGATACAGAGGGAGAGAAGCTGGATTCTAGGTTCTACGTGTTGATTGATATAAGCTCCCAGAGAGAAAGCTCGACTGCAAGTAACACATCTAGCTCAGCATTTGGACTTTTATACCACATTCCCTGAGCAATTTTACAGCACTTAGAGTTTACCGACATCACTTAGGGACTGTGGCCTGTACTATCTTGCCTCGCTGGAGAGCATGTGCTGCCAAGAGAATATGCAGTGATAATTTGGTCTGCGAACACTAGGTTGGCATTAAAAAGCTGGCCTACTTATCCTTTGGCTCCAGATCAACACTCTGGAACTTGACGCCAGTCCAAACTGCCATGTCTTCGAACAGAGCTAAACCGACTCTCCTATAACTTCCACCAGGGGCTTTGAGTATCATTATAGCAACTCCGGTTTCCTGGTGATAACTGCCAGTTTTGCCCAAGAGAAGATACTCGCATTTCCTCCCTGCGAATTCAACATCTGAAGCTGACTCCACAAGATCCAGCATTGTAGACAGTGTGCACCGCTTATGAGGGCTTATATCGCTGAACTGAAGTATTCGACAGAATAGCCTAACCTTGGCTGCGGTCAGAACCTCGATCTTGGCGTCCTCAACCTCCATCGGGTCTTCGAACCGGATCTTTCCATCGACTGATACCCAGGACCAACTGGGAGCTCTCTTAGTGTGTCTCTCCTTCACTCTTCCGTTATCAGGCTTGTACCATGCCAGAAGTTGGATAAACCATCGCTCCCAGTGACCGTAGATATGAGAGTCTCGCCAGACCTTTTGTAACTCAGTTGTGATACCCGTAACCGCTGGCAACCTATCTTCGGGGTCTTTCAGCTGCCGTTGTGTATACTGAACAATGATGGTCTTCCAGAGATAGAGTTTCTCTGAATCATGTGTTCCGTAGGATGGTTCACCCTCCTCGTCGAAGGAAGCCCACGGTAATGACTCAAGATGTTGCTGGTATTCTATACCGATATCATTTCCCGTGACGCTCTGCAGTTCAGTTTCCTGGCACTGCCAAAGGAGTTGGTAATCTGAGAAAATGAGCATACGGGACGAAAGCATGTACTCTTGAAGAGTCCATCCCCTTTTGTCTAGAGGATGGTTGGGCCGATACGGGCTTCCTGACAGATAAACAGTCCTTATACTTCCATCCTTCATCGGTATGTCGAAGTGATTCTCCGGCAAATACGTAGAATTCTTGCCAGGCAAGTTTCCCAAGAATCCTTCACATGCTCTTGTAGCAGTCCCAGCAGCCAATGTTATAGCAGCGTTCTTGTACGTTGTCGCCATCCTGCTAATTTCTCGTCTCTTATCATCTGCGCAGTTTTGAATGATGCACAATCTATCCACCCAGAGATGAGAAAACCCCAGTTCCCGAGCCACACGTATTGCGTCTTGGACAGACTGTTCCAATTCTTGAAGTTTGATCTCCTTTAAGAGATCTTGCTCGTTATTTAGGCGTAGTTCTGATAGTCGGCTTTGCATTTTCGGGTCCGGTTTCCCCCAACAGTAGCTCAAGGCGAGGTATGTTCCTCGAGCTTCTTTCTCATTGATCTGTAGCTGTGCAGTATGGCCGCTGACATTTATTACACGCGTGGGAAGGACGATGTCTCTTGAGTATTGACACTTTTGATGACCCATGCTTGGTGCATGGGGACTCATACAAGCCTCTATCAACATTTTAGCGGATGAATAAACCTCCGGGCTTGAAACATCTCTGCGTAGTGGCCGTCGTTTTATCAAGGAGGAGAGGGGATCATCTGGGAAGGCATGTTAGACGAGGAAGCAAGAAGAAGAGGACTTATCCCGAACTTTCTTTCACAAATGGATAGAGCAAGATACTTCCAATTAGGCCATTCACTCGACCAGTCAAGGTATTTAGATTCGAGCTTTTGCCTCCTGAATTCGGTTTTGAGTTCCAGAAACGTAGAAGTCCCTCGTTGTTCCAGATATGGTGTCCAAACTCTTTCAATCCAGCATCCAAAATGAACTTGCACAGGTCACAGCCAGCTCTGGCTGAACTCAAGAGACTCTGCCGGGTTTTGTGGACATAACCAGAAGAAGAGTTCAGATCCTGTAGCGCTTGTTGGGAAAATAAACGTGTACAAGCATCGCATAGACCTATGTATCGTTGCACCCGCGCTCTTTTAAGTGCTGGCAGGTCGTGGCTCGTATCTACAGGCCTCTCCATTCCCGTGTGAGATTGTAGCTGGTTAATATGGACAATCCTGAGTTCATATCTACGCGCAGTCGACCAGGATAGACCACTACCTCAGGAGAACGTTGGGTATCGGGTTCAGGCTGCAATGGGATTGATGAACGGTTTACGGAAGAAAGCTCGCAAGATCGGGCTGACTGAGTGTCGCTCCCTTGAGGACTTGGAGCTTGAAAAGCTGGCGGGGCGTGGCGTGTCCAGATGGGTTAAAAATGCAGTGAAGAATCTCTACAGGGATGATCCTAGTTGGAAGAGATGCGAGTGCTACCTGGCTATGTGGTGAATATCCAAGGACAAGTGCTCCGCGATCTCATCCTACTAACATTTGGGGTTTAGCCATAGAAGTAGGTATAGTCCCTATGTAGAGTGAATTTGATGTGAATAGCAATGCCAACAGCTCATCCCAGGCCAGGCGTTGATCAAGATGAAGATTATCGCATTTGTAATTCTAGGCTGACACAGCCATTGTACTTGATGTTGAAGTGGAACGCAAGGTCCGCTAAGGCATAGCCACTCTAGTGCTGACATAGGGCTGGGATGTCAACATTGGTTAAAAATGCAGTGAAGTGATTTCGTTTTGCAGTTCCCCTGCATAATCCTGGTGCGGACCTTCGGCCAACCATTAGAAATAAGACCATGTCAGATTGATCGTCTATCGGCTACTAGATTTTCAATGAACTGATCAAGTCCTGTGAAAGTACGCAAAGGGAAAAGAACAAGAGAATTTGATGAGGCACGAGAGTATCACCCCAGTAACAGCCCAACTTACAATGGATATTGAAAAGGTCAGATGGCACCGACTGAGACGCTTTACACAGATCCAGGGATAAGTCTTTCAGATTCTAACTTGCTATTATAAATTACCTGAGACCTGGATCAGTCGCTGGACATGAAGTATCTCTGTTGATGAAACCCGATAAATCGTCCTGATAAACTTCACTATAGGTAGAGCCAGAGCAGGCAGAGGGAAATCATTCAAAATAATCACAACTACTGCCTATTATATGACCTCGCGACAAGTGAGCAAACTCAGTGAATCGTTCATGTTTGTGATTCTGGCAGTCAGGGCTATAGGGACTTAGGGTCGAATGGGCGATGTCGAAGCCTTGACTCTCAACTAAATGCTCACCCATCTTAATCGATCGGGAGAGGAAGGCTTTGGGATGGGTTAAAAATGCAGTGAAAGTATGCCCCTATTCGCGTGCAAGATCGAGAGCGAGGCACTAGCGTAAGCCAATCGCTGTTTGTTCGCTAAGGCAACCAGGTCAGGCTTGACTAAAAATGCAGTGAAGTGCCGTGCACTGCCAAATTCTGACTTCAAGGCGGGTGATGAGACCGTTACCCATTGTCACTTCACGGTATCTATGATTGTTGAAAAGACTTATCCAAGAACTAGCACTCCAGTTAAACTCGTCTGTTCGGACTCTTTTACCAATCTGCGCTGCGACTTGTACTCTTAATAGTACATGAATTGAACTTCTGAAGTAGTGTTGAAAGCCCCTCTGGTTATTATCTTCGCAATGGGAGGCCCTGTAATACAGGGCCTGTAAGACAGCAGAGGTTGACCTGATCCCGATGGGTTTTCAGTGAGTCGATACTGTTAATAAAAACGAGGACAGTAAATAAAAGAGCAAAATGCGAAACTTAGAAATGAAAACGCCTATCCATTTCGTAAAAATACCGACGAGCTGTTCATATCGGCATGACGACTCTTATAGAGCACAAGCAGCCTGCAAACCCACATATTTGGTGTGATTAGTCACTAACAAAGCCCTGAGAGTGTTATAATTGCAGTGGAGTCACGATCTATGCACAGGCCACTAACATTTTAGCAAAACACTAAAACCTGCAACATTCCAGACAAATCAAATCTCGACACTTCTTGCAGGTCGATCTATCTCAGGGTCTGACACAATCGGATATGGAAAGGCACCATTCCCCACACGGCGATCAGGAACAAAGCCATTGTCGCCACAACCACGACCGCAAATAGCCTAGAGACACCAGAAATGGCATCACCAGCAGCCTCGTTCCCCTGTGGCTTCACCCTAACACGACACCTTTGAAGCCATAGACCATCAATTGTAAGAGTTTGCATCATGCCTGGAATGTATTCGACTCGTGGCGCGACGTCCCATCTTCTGTCTGGACGGCCTGCCGAAAGGTTAACGGCGCATCGGCATGTTCAAACCGTGAAGTGATCCGAAAGCCCGGAGTGAACGAGCCAAGACTGTTGAATTGAAGTTTGATGGCGATCTGGACTCCGGCATGGCTTTGGGCGAGTGTTGGTGGTGGAGAGGGTATATAGAACGAGCCTTGCCATCGCGCAGCGTCCCTAGGGGAGCGTTTTTGACATTGGCATTCATTCATTCACTCATTCTTTGCGCTTCACCACTCCTTTCAACATGAAGCTGCTACTCACACTCATTCTATCGGCCTTGGTTGGCCTAACATGCGGTCTCGCATCGACAGATACCATCACCTGGGGAGGCGACAACTCCCGAACAGGCTACCAAACGTACAAACCCCAGTTCCCTTGCCCTTACTCACACTAACTGACTTCTGAGTAACCATAACATGGATCCCGCGATCGTAGGAAGTCCTCAGTTCGACATCGTCTTCAAAACAGCCCTCCCAGGAAAATACGTCGGCGCAGCAGAGCAAATCTTCTCGCAACCTCTCGTCTACACTCCTTCAGGCGGGACGACGCAATATGTTTATCTCGCGACGACTCAGAATAATATTTATAAACTCGATGCAAAGACCGGTGTTATTCTTGCATCGCGCAACATTGGAATTCCGTTCCTTACTGCTGATTTGGACGGTTGTGTTGATGTCAACCCTACTGTTGGCGTCACAGCGACTGGTGTTATTGATCCTGATACCGATACGTGGTATATCACGTCAAAGACTTATGTTAATCAGAATGCGGGTCAGGTTCCCCAAGGAAGACCGGCTGGAAGGTATAAGATCCATGCTATCAACGTGAATGATCTTTCGGAGCGACAGAACTTTCCCGTTGATCTTGAGGGTACGATTGCGAGGAATAATCCAGAGAGGATGTTCACCGGCGGTATTCACCACCAACGACCCGGATTACTCCACACAGGACAATACGTCTACGCCGGCTTCGCATCGCATTGTGTGCAGTACAACTTCACCGGCTGGATCATGGGCTGGGACAAGACCACCGGCCAAATCGTCGAGCACTGGGCTTCCGAAGGTCTCGGCGTAAGCAGTAACATCTCTGGCGCAGGAATCTGGCAATCTGGCGGTGGTCTTGCCTCCGACGACGCAGGATCAATGTTCTTCGCTACTGGAAACGGCTACGCTTCTCAGTTATCCACCATTCCTGTCAATGGCTTCACGCCCCCGACTGCGATGGAACAAGCGGCTATTCACATGTCCATCAACAGTGATGGTACGCTCTCGATTGTGGATTTCTTCATGCCGTTTGAGAAGCAGGAGCTTGATGGTGCGGATAAGGATCTGGGAACGAGTCCACTAGAGATTCTGCCGAGTCAATTCTCGTGTGGTGATATCAAGAGAATGGGTATTGTTACCGGCAAGTCTGGAAAGACGTATTGGCTTAATCTTGATGATCTTGGTGGTTATCGCAATGGTCCCAACTCGAAGGACAGAGTCATCCAGACGTTTCAGAATGAGAATTCCGTGTACGCGGGCGCTGGTGTTTATCCTCTCGAAGGAGGCTACATCTACATCAACGGTACGCCTACCAATCCCCCCTCTATGGTTCGTACTGACAGTTCTAGTGATCCAATACCCAACGCACGTCTTCAAATTCTCCTGTCTCAACAACACACCCTACTTCACAAAAGTCGCCGACTCACCCACCAACAACGCCTACATCCTCGGCGTAAGCCATGGCACAACAACATCCCTCAACAACCAAGAAGGTACAGGTCTCCTCTGGGTATCCGACGTCCAAAACACAAACTTCAAGATCTACGACGCTGTTCCTCAGAGTGGTTACCTCAACGTCATTCGAAACTTCACCATTGTGGGCATTACCAAGTTCAGCAGGCCTGTGTTTGGTGATGGTATGGCGTATATCGGCACGACGGTGGGATACTTTTATGGTCTTGGGTCGACGAACAAGTTTCCGCTCAATTGCACGAGTTCGATCGACTTTGGGACCGTGGACTTTCAGGGAAGCGGAGTGCAGCTTGTTAATTGCACGGCAGGCTTTGATCTCAGCGTCACAGGTGTTGCCCTTGCAGATGGTACGAACTACAACATCAGTCAGACGCCCAGTCTGCCATTGTCGATGTCTGCGGGGGATACTTTCCAATTCGCGGCACAGTTCACGCCCAAGAGTGTTGGAAGATTGGGCACTACCATCAATATTCAGACTTCAGGTGTGCCGGATGCATCCTATAGCAAGTCTGTCAAGGTCAGGCTTACTGGTGTCGGTAAAAGTTCGAATGCCTTGTTAGATATCAGTCCCAAGGCTGTGGTTTTCACTGGTCTCGTCACCGGTACGCAAGCTGAAGCTCAGAGCGTTCTTATCGGCAACGATGGATCTAGTGATCTGCAAGTCTCTTCAGTTCTGTACTCCAACGCCTCTTCATCCGGTCCATTCACCACCTGGTCGGGTACAGGCAGTCTCACTGTCGGTAAGTTCACACTGACTGGTATCCCAAGCACAGTCCCCGGAGGAAACGACACTGCCATCTCTGTCAAGCCAGACACTTCCGTTACGGGCAACTACACAGCTTGGGTCAAATTCGTCACCACCGGAGGTAATGCCACTGTGTCTTTGTCTGCTGCCGCTGGCGATCCTCCAACCGCTCTTCTCGAGTTCCAAACACCTGACGGAAGCGGCTGGGTCAAGTACGATCCCAAGAATCCCTTTACCTTCGGAAACGTCACAGAGAATACCTCTAGATCTCTCAAGTTCCGCGTCTCAAACACCGCCGCTCCTGGCGGTGTCAAGCTCGGTCTCACCGTCTCCAAACCACCCTTCGGCGTTCCAGGCATCATCAAATCCGCCAACCAGATTGATCTCGCCGAAGGAACGCTCATTGCTCCAGGTCAAAGCCAAACAGCAACGTTGACATGCACCGTCCCCAAAAGCCAATGGAACCTCCCATCATACAACGGTACCGCCCAGTGGACTATCAACACCAACGATCCAACGTGGTCTTTCGAAAAGCGTGCAGTGCAATTCTTCTGCAATGCTGTCTCTGAACAAGCTGCTCCCCTTCTCCCCAATGGCCAAGGACGGTATCAATACGTTGGCTGCTTCAAGGAGAACAATCCCGGCCGCCAACTCTCCAACCAGCTTTATGCCAACAGCTCCAACACTAATGAGATGTGCATTAACTCCTGTGGTTCAGAAGGCATGGCATTCTGCGGAACGCAATATCGAAGCGAATGCTGGGCAGGCAATAAGATCCCCACGCAAAAAGTCGATGATGCAAACTGTAACTTCGACTGTGCGGGTAGTCTGAACCAGATCTGCGGTGGAAATGGCATTGATGGCAGTGGAGCTTATATCAGTCTCTTCGCTGATACACTTCAGTGGGATGGGTCCTATGCAAGTGTTACTACAAGTAGCAGTGCGAGCGCTGCGACACCTCAAGGACCTTTTGTGAACCCTGGTGTTGGTGGTTACACGAGCATTGGGTGTTATACTGAGGCTACTAATGCTCGAGCACTTCCTAATGGGAGGGGGAATAATCCACCCACTGTTGCGAATTGTGTGCAGGCTTGTAGTAATGAGAACTTTGTTTATGCTGGTGTGGAATATGGTGGAGAGGTAAGTTACCCAGCTTTCAGCACTGGTCCCCAGAGATGTGCTAACAAGAGTAGTGTTATTGCGGGAATAGCTTCAGCGATGGGTCGGTGCCTGCTCCGATCACCGATTGCGGTATGCTTTGCAATGGTGAGTACTCATACTTGAGTTTGTTCAGGGACATACTGACATGACTAGGCAACTCGAGCGAATACTGTGGTGGTCCTAGCCGTCTGAACGTCTATGAACTCAATGCCGTCTACAGTAGCTCATTACCCACATCAATTGGGGCGTTTTCATCAGCTAGTAGCATGGGCTCCTCGATCGCTGCCTCTTCAAGTGCTGCTCTCTCCGTGTCGAGCTCTGGTTCAGTTGCATCGACCAGCATTGCAGCTACGTCTAGCTCCTCAAGCACCTCCCTCCCATCTTCCTTGACCTCAACAAGTGGAAGCTCGTCTTCTATTAGGGTGTCCAGCTCAACCTCGAACGGCGCTTCTACTAGCACGGGCTCAGTCAGCAGTTCGATCTCAGCTCCAGTCTCAAGCAGTATATCCACAAGCTCCACGAGCTCTTTCAGCACCTCACTGAGCGTGTTTGGCAATTTCGCCGGTGGCCTCAACAGCGCATCCTCTTCCGCCTCCAGCTTTGTAGCGACATCCTCTTCTGGGAGCTCGGGTTCAAGTATTGCAACGAGTCTCTCGGTCTCTGGGGGCTCGAGCAGCTCGGTTTTCAGCTCTTCCACGAGCGGCGCAGCAACGAGTGCTTCTTCGACTGCCAGCAGCAGTAGCGCCAGTTCTTCTTCTAGATCTACAGCCTCTACTTCGTCGACGACAACTTCTAGTGTAAGCTCAAGTACTTCTTCAACCACATGGACGACCTTCGCCACACTCTCTTCAACAAGCTCGCGTGTCTCCACTACTACGACAACCAGCACGACTTCGTCAATCTCGAGTGCAGGACTCTCGAGCGTGGTATCGTCAAACACGCTGCCTTCGAGCGTTTTAAGCGCCCCTTCTGTCAGCGGGCTATCATTGGTGACGACGTCTTCCATCGTCAGTCGCCCCTCATCTACTACGCTCTCATCAGGTGCCTCGGCTGTCTCTTCGTTGAGCTCCTTGGTTGCGGGAGGTCCAGTCGGTGTTTCATCCATATCTAGCGTCGCATCTACCACTGTGACATCTCGTTCGACTTCCGTTGTATCTTCCTCAACGACGTCTTCGACTACAAGCTCATCCACCTCATCTACATCGGCCACCTCTAGCACGACATCACGAGCCAGTTCTACGACCACAACTAGCTCCAGTACTTCAACTACCACCAGCTCCACAACCTCGAGGGCTTCCTCAACTACTACTAGTACTACCAGTACCACCTCAACATCAATCAAGCCAACAGCAACAGGCCCTTCAATCTCCGACACAGTTGGAACGTGGGCTTTCCAAGGCTGCTGGACAGAAGGCTTCCTCATCCGCGCCCTCAACTCCAAAGCCACCGCCAGTGATGGCATGACCCTCGAAAGCTGCGCTAGTTTCTGCAGCGGCTTCACTTACTTCGGTACCGAGAACAGTCGAGAGTGTTACTGTGGTAATCAGCTCAATTTCGGAAGTTACCAAGCCCTTAACCAAAAGGACTGCTCTGCTACCTGCGCAGGTGACAAGACAGACTACTGTGGTGGCACGCTTCGCTTACAGCTGTACAAAGCTGGTGCTAAGACTACAACTACACCATCTGTGGACCAGGGTAACAAGAACTTCACAAGCTACTCATGCGTCTCGGAGCCTTTCCTCGGCCGTTTACTGCCTCAACTAGTCATGAACGACGGTAACTCCATGACGATTGATACATGTCTTGAGAAGTGTTGGATGTATAAATACGCAGGTGTCGAGAACGGTCGCGAATGTTGGTGCGGCAACACCATCAATTGGCAAGGTCTTCTACCAACTTTTGGTCAGGGCAAGAATGTTTCCATGACGGACTGCAACATCGGCTGCCCTGGAAATAACCTTGCATATTGTGGCGGTCTGGCCAGGATGAATCTGTACATTAACAAGTCTTCAGCTTTGGCGTTTTTGAAGAAGCATAAGAGACGGCATGCGAAGGGATTTTGAGGTGGAAACGGTGTGGATTTTGGAATTGGAGTTCGGATTATATAGACATTTTCCTTCATATATCTACATTCGTTACAAAGTCCCTTCTCCATTCTGAGATGTCATACGTCTTTGATCGAAAGCTCGCTGTCCATGGGCTTAAGCCAAGGGGTTGTGTAGACGTGAACTTCCTCAGCAGTGAAGGGTGGGGTCTAAGCAAATGCAAACTTGAGTCCCTCGTTCTCGACAGCCTGTCTAACACCTTCCATCTTCTCAATCTTTCTGACATGCTCATAATAATGACTGTAACCTTTCTCCAGATCAATCTCCACCTCATGCGCCCAACGAGCAAAGATGTAGACGTTGAAGTCCACGAAGGTTAAAGCATTTCCGACGATATACTCCCGATTCTTCAGCGCATCATCTATCCTCTTAAAAGATTCATGAATAACCTCCCTTCCCTTGGCACGAATCCTCTTGTGGTCTGCAACATCATCACTGAATCTCCCAGGACGCAGCCAAGCTCCATATCCAAGACCGTGCAGTGTGCCCGATAGAAAGACAAGCCACTCCAACACTTTGGCTTGCTGAACAATTCCAATGCCTACAAGGTCCTCTTTTGGGAGAAGCGAGGATATGTAGGTTAGAATGGCTGGCATCTCGGTGATGACTTCGTTGTCAACAGCTAGAGCGGGTACATATCCTCTTGGGTGAATAGACCGATACTGAGCGTTGCTGAAGCTTCCGTCAGCTGCTTCGACTCCATTGGGTCCGAACTTGAGTCGAGCTGCATCAAAAGGGATCTTGTAGTGACGAAGGATCGCGTGAGGAATCAGGGAGCAGGATCCATTTGCTCGATAGAGTGTCAACTTGGGCATATTGATAGATTCGGTGGTAGACCCCATATTTCCTTCTTGATCACGCGGGACAGAGCATGCTTCAATTGTGTTGCGTGTAGTATCGTATTGTAGAGTCTTATATATCATGGCGGCTAACGTTGCGCTACTTGGCAATCTGTCCTTTCAACGTCATAGCAACGCCCTTCGGGTCAATACCAAGACGAGCTGACAAATGCCAATGTCTGCAGGATCATTTCCCATGTAGTTTCCAATTTCCTTCTTAACTGGTACCTTTTCTATCTGTCGCCGATTCTCAATTTGGCACATTGCATGTCTCGCCGCTACACTTTTATCAATACCATGCAAAAGCTCACTCTTTCACCAGCAGCACAAAGCAAAGTGAGTTCCAAATCAAGATGAATCTATTAAGTTCACTGCCAAAATGCAAGGGTATCAATAATCTCTAGCGTCCAGCGCTTAGAGAATTCAAAATCGGCGCAACTTCATCACTCATCTCCCATCTCCGTTTCCCCAACGGCAAAAGCGCGTTAAACCTCGCCATCCATCCCTCCGAAACACATCTGCACAGCGGAATGTTATTCATGCCCGCAGTACCCTCTGCCTGAATCCACGTCTCCAGCCTCGCTGTATTCTGTAAATCCAGTGGATCATCACCGATGTTTATGTGGTTTATTGTCGGAACGCAAGAACATGCTGCTTCGGAGAACACTAGCCACGCCCATACTACCAACGCACTCATTGAAATGGTGAGATAGGATGTTGGGTCAATGGATTGGGTCTGGGGCTCGTTTGCTTGGAGATCAGATTCGCATTGACGAAGAACTGCAAGGGCGTGCAGTAAGGCTCTTCGACTCTCAGGCGTTTTGGCCCATATGTTTAGCTGGGTATGAAGCTTTTGCAATCTCGGACGAACACCAGCTTCATGTTCCGGAGGTACAATTGAGGCCATGGCTACTGAGTTGATCATCCGAGGATCAGCGTAAAGCTGAAGCCCTTGAAGATGATAGGTCATCAAACACTCCGAAATCAAGCATTTGATATTCGACATCGCCAGGGCTTTAGCCCTCACTGGATCTTCATCATAATCACCAATGTAAGCAGTAAAAGGAAACTCTCTAACCTCAACAGCATGGAAACATTGATGCTTCAATCTCTCAATATCAGCTTTCCACGCCTCAAGCTGCCATGCCAGAGACGAAGTGGAATTCTGTGTTGATCGACCCGCCTCTGTACTCCGACGAACAATTTGAGTCTGATTCCAAATTGCAGGTAATAAGCCACACAGAGCGAGGTGGATATCTTCAAAGAGGAGAAGAGGTTTTGCTGGGGTGTTGGGGTTGGCAATGACTTCTGAGAGTTTGAAATTTGAGCGGTCTGTTGGCTCGAGGGTGATGCGTTTGAAAAAGATGTTGAGGCCGTAGGCGTTCCAGAGGGAATAAGTAGCTGGCATTGTGAGATCGATTTCTTCTCTGAATAGTGTTGGGGCTTGAAAGCGGGCTATTGAGAGGTAGGTGTCGATTTTGAAGAGGGAAACGATGAGTCTAAATAGGTCAGCATCGCATCAATGGAGTGGGAGCAATGAACTTACCGCTTCCAGCGATCTCGGATAGTCATGAGCCATGGGACAAAGGTTCCGGGATAGTGAACGCGTTGTTGCTCAGCTGCGTTATCGCTGTTGAAGAACTCTGCTTCTCGGAGAGCTACAACGAATGTGCCTCGTAATAATGATGCTTTAGAAACCAATTTCTCATTCTAGAATTGAGGTCAGCAGGTACGCAGTGACGGTGTGAAGGCTACCTACTCCATGATAAAAAGCAAAGATAATGTTCATGAGGATGGCTTGATATGTTTCGAAGGGCCAAGGTTCATCATATTCATGTCGAGATCTGGGGTTCGCCTAAAGTCCATGTTAATCTAGGAACAGCTGTCAGGCTAAATGACTTACGATCCAATCAGAGAACGCGCCCATCAACGACTCATGCAGTTGTAGAACTACATCCTCAAACTCATCCGGATTTCTCAGCCAGCAGCTGATCATGGCTATTGATACAGATACCAAGAGAGAAGTTTCCATAGTGACATAAGAAGGTCCATGGAGAATAGGCCATGTATCATGAAACCTCCCAAAGTATTCTTTTGAATTTCCCTCGATCCAATTTTTGTCAAGTGCAGGTACTGGAGTATCCTCACCAATCGGAATCTCTCCAGATCGAACATGATTAGCGATTCGCTTGAAGCCCGCTTTGGTCTCGTCATTTGGTGAGATTTGCGGTGTTCCTGGTGTGAGATTCTGTATCAGGGCCGGCGAAGTAAAACCATTGGCCACCGCTCTAGGATCTGCAGTGTCCTCGCTTGGACTCTTACTCCCGCTGCTACTCTTGGATGCGTGTTTATAAGTGCAGTTAATTCCCCGCTTGACACAGAGAGTGCACTTTGTACCACCGTCGCACTTGGTCTTGTTCGCATGGCACGCATCGCAAGCTCTTCCTCTTCTTGGATCTGGAGCTGTAGGCATATCATGCCGTGTCAGGTGGCGCCGCAGCAAGTCACTATGAAAAATTAATTAACACTGTAACTGAAGGAATACGGGGCAAGAATACGAGACATGTACTAACTTGCGTGTGAAGGATCGTTGACAAATCGGGCAAACGAAATTGCGCTCTCCATGGGTCGCTTGATGGCGCCTCAGATGTTCCTTTCTGATAAAGCTCTTCCCACAGTGGCATGTATGTCGACTGGGCGTTGGTTCAGCACTGTCAGCGGAGGATCTGATACATCATTTCACTACTGTTAGTCATGGTACATTACATACAGCAGAGAACAACATCCACTCGGTGATCCCACCTGTGGCTGGCCGTTACATACCTTCTATCACGATCACTGTGGGATATCTCCATGGCGGTGGATTATGACTGCCTTTGATTTGATATGAGGGTATCGAACCGAGTGGGATTGGATTGCGAGCCAAAAACTCGGTGTATTATTTATCGAATAGTTTAACTGGAAAAAAACCGAAGCCGATGCGCTGTTACGTATGCCTTGCATTGGGGGCCATCCCTTGAAGGTCGACTTGGTAATCGTGAGTGGGATTGCCGATGTTGAAGTGGGATATCTCAGCTCGGCATCCGCGGATGGGACAGAAAATTGGGGTAAACCGATTAGATTCGACCAGTCAGAGCCTCATATGCACAATTAAGGTTTTAATGGACCCCGCGGATAGATCCATTATCCCACTCGGTTCATCTCATCCCACTCAAGTCTGTCCCACGGAGTATCCCACCTCCAATTATCCCATCCCCATCCCATCCCATCCAGCTGGAAGCCACAGCAGAGCACAGACAGCACAGCCATCTGTGGCGGTCAGAATCATAAAGAAATGCTCTGTAAGTTGGGTGCCAAAGATTAAAGTGCCGGAGACATATTCCGGGGCAATCTATTGCTCATGTAATGAAGTGGGATGCACCTCTTTTTGGCTTGACAGGCTAGACTGGCAGCCTTATGATCGCCAATCTTCCGAACCTTCTATCTTAACTAAGCGGAGCTTCGATGGCGTCTGTAGCACGACTAATGGTATGATTAAGCATTGCAACTGTGTAAATGACGCCAAATATGTCGATAATTGTTGATTTCAACAACATATATAGATAGGGCCATCTCTCTTCAATTGCTATCCATTCCATCCATCCATCAATCAATCATCCACTCAGCAATTACTACTTTGACTACCTTAGCAACTCCAATCGACCAATCACATATTACACTCACATAAAATGTCTGCCTATAAAAACGTCGCTGTCGCTGGTGCCGCTGGTGACCTCGGCTCCGCAGTCTTCAAGGCCCTCGTCGACTCCAACAAATTCAACCTCACAGTCCTCACCCGCGCCGGCTCAACCTCCAAATTCCCCTCCGACATCAAGGTCATCGAAGTCGACTACGAGTCTCTCGACTCTCTCACATCCGCTCTCCAGGGCCAAGATGCCGTTGTCTCAACCCTCGGCAGTCTCGCCATTCCCAGCCAATCACTCCTCATCGACGCCGCAGTAGCCGCTGGCGTGAAGCGCTTCCTCCCTTCTGAGTTCGGCTCCAACCTTATCATCCCTAGCGTTCGAAAGCTTCCTGTTTTCAAGACAAAGGTTGATATCGAGGATAAGCTTACTGCTCTTGCGGATGAGGGCAAGATTAGCTATACCTTTGTTTATAACTCTGCTTTCCTTGACTGGGGCCTGAACCACGGCTTGTTCCTTGATTTTAAGAAGGCGGAAGCTACACTTTGGGATGGCGGCAACACTGAGTTCAGCACAACTACTCTCGCCAGTGTTGGCCAAGCTGTCGTTGGCGTTCTGACACATCCTGCCGAGACAAAAGATCGCGTTGTTTATATTCAGGATACTGTCGTCTCTCAGAAGAAGCTCCTCGACATTGCCAAGGAGCTCAACCCCAGCAAACAGTGGACGGTCAAGGAGGCCAAGATCGACGATGCTACTGCTGCTTCTGATGCCAATATCGCAAAGGGTATCATCGACTGGCCCACCCTTGCCGCCTACCTATACAGGGCTATCTTTGACCCCACTAGTGTTCCCAAGTTCCCCAAGCTTGATAATGAGCTTCTTGGTGTCAAGGGTGTCACCGATGAGCAGCTGAAGGAACTTGTCAAGTCTTTTGTCCAGTAGAGACACAAAATATATTGATAGATAGTTAAAAATCAAATCATTTAGTATTCATTTTCCTGTTTGACTGTCAAAAGTGTCGTGAACATGCCTCTCATAGTCTCATCTATACTGATACTTCCCCATTTGATATTAGAATAAGCCACATATACTTTATAAAATTCGGTTCTCTAAATAATTATCTTGATAACAAAATGTACTAATAAATATACATCAAATCTTAATGGCTCTTAAATATCCAGCATATAAGCTTCGACGGTATATGATAGAGTGGTGGCAGTGGTGTGTAAGAAATCATCCGGATCTCATTTGGTGGATAAGGATTGTATGACTATGTGAGTATAGAGAGTATTCTGGGAGGTGATGTTCTCAAGGAATTAGCTGCTCGTGGACTTCAACAAGTATGGAATATTCTGCTGAATCACTCTATTGTAGAATAATTCGTGTGCTTCCATCAGTCCTCTGCCACCGTGACAGTGTCTTTAAAAAAGTGACAGCCAAGAGTGATTGTTATTGTTCTTCTGGATTATATAGGCCGACATACAAATAGTTAGGAGCTGCGTTTTTCGTTACATCTAACTTGATTCACTCAAAGGTTATCTCACTAGGATTTATTACTCTCAGTCTTTACTCGGTCATATGAATTTTATGTTAGCTCAGGTCAACCCTCTGACCAGAACTTTTGCTGTGTAGGTAACTTGAGCTATCTTCGAATTACCACTTATAATACTTGCAACTTGGTGTTATTACTCCATACATATTCTATCTATTTCGACTGTGTTCAATTCCTTACAGAGGTCTTTCCTCAGATTAGGACCTCAGCCGTCGCTCTCTAATGTATCACGATGACTTCTTCAGCCTTTCCAAAGTCGAAATCCAATCGCAACGAGATTTATAGCTACAGAATTAATCCAAACCTCGATTCTATATCTTTCGGGTCTCTAATTTTCATTTCTGTTATCTTCTGCCATCGCGGGGTATCGAAAATCAGAGGTTGCGAGATAGGCGAATCTTGGATTGCGTGATTCTGATAGGGGTTGCACCATCGACAAGCCGGTTACCTGGAACCTTTTTATAACCGAGCGTAACCCACGAGGCGATCTGTATGGATATTCCCCGCAGATATTGAGTGCTAAACACGGATTCTTGCCGGTATCTCGGCAATGTTGAGTTTCAGTCGTCAATGCCTGGTTTGGTGATCGCTGGACGACAGTGCCTAAATAACATAGGGAAGGGATCAAAGCGCTGCCATTTCTCACAGTTTGGGCCGCTATAGCGATTTTAGTTATTGAAATAAATAACGAGTATCATAACCTTCTGATGAATTCGTCTGATGCTTGGCCATTGTGCATCGTCTCCATCTGTCATACACGGAACCGGGCTACACCCGATCAAGCCCAGAATAATCCAATCATCATCTATAATCCTCTTTAATCATCAAATCTCTCATATCATTTACAGTCGTGGTAATTCCGCACGTTACATCCCTGGAGTTGAGTGATTGATAGTCCAAATAACACCATCGCCCCGTGTGGGGATCTCACCCCGACACCGGTCTCTCCCACGACGTCTCTTTGAGAAAAAGCTCGTCACGTCATTGGAAGAATTGCGGGCATGGGATAACATATCAAAGCGTGATTCGACGAAACCTACATGACGCCATGCGCTATGCTCTTCGGGAGTCTGTTAGGTTACTTGCATCCGTTGAAAAGGATCGGATTGCCTGTTTTGTCGAATGGACGGTAGATTATTGAAAAGGCTTGTTACCCCTCGTAGATTTTGGATTTATAATTTTCTTTGTGAAGAGAAGTGCTGGTATTCGATTAAAGGCGTGTTGTGTTTGTTGACTTGGGCCGCCTAATCAGTCTGATATTGCATTCAGATATACGGCATTGATATCAGCATCATGAGCGCATACCTCTCTCTTTCGGCCGAACCGGCTTTCGGAGCACGGATACCACTCTCATTCGTAACGGATTCATCGCAAGAACATCCTGTGTCACAGACACCATCAGACTCTCAGCCTCGATATACACCACCTACCGATTTGACGACACAAGACCAAGCAAGCGACTCTGGAGAGCAACATCCCATACCATCTTCTCAGACAGTTTTGTTATTACATGGCTTGCGGCAACCATACCAAATCACCGACGGTCACCCAGTCCCCAGCACGAAGCATGATCATGAGCTACTAGTCCGCACTGATACTATTGGACTGAATCCCATCGACTGGAAATCACCGTAAGTAGACCCACGTATATGATATAATTATAGCCGCTGAAAGATTTCACAGTGACTACGGCTTCGCCATCCCCGAGTTACCATACATCTCCGGCCGCGAAGCATCAGGCACCGTCGTCCTCGCCCCTCAAACCCCCTCAAGAATCAAATCCGGCGACAAAGTAATCGTCATATCCACAGACTACCGCGATCTCCGCAAAGCAACATACCAACAATACGTAGTCGCCTCAGACTTTAACGTCGTGAGAATTCCAAAGGAAATCACAATCAAGCAAGGCGCCACACTCGGAGTCGCATACGTAGCGGCAGCTCTGTCACTAGGAATTTGTCTCGGTGTTGATTTTACATCCGTTCAGGATGGTCCTAATATTCTTAACCTTGTGAGAGAGGTACCAGAAGAGGCACTTCCTGAAGATATTAGGGGAGAGTGCTTGAATAGCATTTTGCCGAATGAGGGTGCTAGGGCTGGAGATTGGATCGCTATCTGGGGCGGCTCTTCAACCTCGGCTGTTCTAGCTGTTCAACTAGCTCGTCTTGTTGGACTGAAGGTTGCTTTGGTTGTTGATAACGCAAAGCATGGAGTTCGAATTTCCGAGAATCCCGTTCTTCGACCGGATCTGCTAGTTGATAGCCATGATCCCGAGCGAGCTGTTGCTGTTCTTCGCGCCAACACTAGAGGAAAACTTCGCTTCGGTATCGACACAAGAGGTAAAGATACAGCTGAAGTGTTACTCCGCGCTCTTGGCCCTGAGGAACTTCATCGAAGCGCAGCGAATGTCACTTCGCCGCCTAGCACTCCGCCCGCTGAGCCCATAGTGCCCGCTCATCTAGTCGGTATGAGTGGACTTCCCAAAACAGGCCAGTCAGCGGGTGTTATCTTCCATACTATCCCTTTCAAACTATATCACGAAGTACCGGAGGTTGGTGAAGTGCTATCGAGATGGCTGGAGAGGTTATTGTCAAGCCGCGCGCTAGTACCACCCAGAATTATCGATGTCGAGGATGGTCTGCATAATGTGAACAGGGGGCTGGATAGGATGAGGAAGGGGGAGATTAGTGGAGGAAAGCTGGTGGTTGACTTGAAGACGAACCAATAGAGGTAGACCAGAGGTAGACCAAAATTCAAGAAAAGAAGAGTTCCATTATTATTATCTACAGCCAAACTGTAGTTACTTGCCTGAAACTTGGCGTAATGCTGACTCTGCTATTGGCTGCGTATTCCGTATCCTACTCCACGAGAGGACATGGATTTGGCTCCCGAGCATCAAAGGGTGCCCCATGTAAGAATAATCAGGTTATTAGTCCAGAACATTCTCTTCGACGCCTTCTTAAATTTCTATACCTTCAGCAGTCGCTTTTCATCGCTCGTTACCCAAAGGCGATCTGAATCTATCTCCTTCATAGCATCCCTTGACAGTCCCAACATGTCTTCAAACAAATCATCACAAGCTCTTCGAACAGAGGTTTCCAAACTAGCCAGACTATCCAATATCCAAGGTGGTCTGCCACCTCTTATGAGAGGCCTACCAGTTCTGGCGATCATGGCCGGAGAGGCTATCGCAAAGACAGCAAACACCACAAACATGATTGAAGAGCGAATGCTTGGAGCAGACGAAGTATTCATACTGCAAAGTCCCCAGAAATCAACAGGAAACAAAGACGTGAAAGGTTATGGCCGGCCAGGAGTAAGCTTGATGTGCCAGACATGCGGGCAGAAGACGGACAAGATCCAGAGGTTAGGAGTTTTTGATATTTCACGGGCCCATAGCTCTGTGAAAGGATATCATCAAATATTTGGGAACGAGGACTATAACAGTGATGTATGAGAAAGGTATGGAAGCCATCCGGATTTGAAATCTTCAGCTATTCTATTGTACAAAATCTAGTTATTCCACTCTATCACCTCGATCCCAACTCAATCTCATCTCCTTCTCAACCAACACCCTAGATCTTTAAGTAGACCCTTATTCTGCCAATTTCCGCAACGCTGGTTCAAAGTGCTTATACATAGTGTAGTGAGTCTCATCCTCAAACTCATGCAATTCACTGCCTCGTATGCGCTCCGCCATATACCGAATCATCTGAATAGGTGCATTCGCATCCTTCTTCCCATGCCACATCTGAATGCCATCATACTGAACTTTCTCAAGATCAAACCCCCAATCATTGGACGTGAGGAGATTCATCTCGTGCACAGCAGCAGTGGCCCCCTGACGGAATGGCTCATCTAGAACCATATCTACCAACTCTTCTAAGCTCATGGACTTTGGTTTCGACTCTCCACTCTCAGCTTCTTCTTCTTTCTTGCGTTCAGCTTCGAGCCATTTATTGAGTCTTCTGGACACGGGACCGGATAGGACAACACGTCTGATGGATAGATACAGCATGTACAACGCTCCTCGGAGAGTCGATGGAGAATACTCCGCCCAGACTTTGAAGACTCGGCGGTAATATTCAACATGCTTGGTACCAGCCGCCCAATGCGGTGCAGTTGCAAAGAGTCCCACGCTGGTCACAGTACGCTTTGGCAACGCGTAAGCACAAGCTAAAGCGAACGGACCGCCGCCCGAGAGACCGAAAACAGAAAATTGAGGAATTTCATGTGCTTGAGCAAACTCCATCACATCAGTTGGCCAATCCAAGATCTGATACCCAGGTTTAAAAGTTGACAGGCTGAAGCCAGGTCTGTCGAGAGCTATGAGACGAACACCACAGCGTTGAGCAATCTCATGAATAGGCTGAGCTTCGAGTCTGCAGGAAGGATATCCATGGAAGTAAAACACAGGCTTTCCATCTTCTTTTCCGAATTCTGCAAAGCCTAGTGTTCGACCATCCGAGAGGTGAAAGGTTTGGTGGGTTCGGGAGGATGTAGAGAGTAAACGTTGGGTTGAGGACGTCGAGCGGTTCCGAACCGCCTGAACTGACATTTTGAGCATTTGATTAATGAAATAATGAGGGAGTGAGCCGGGATGTGTTGTGTTTGTGAGATCTCAGGTTTATGTTATATACCGGGTCAAGGCTTACACGCGGGATACGCGATACGAGAATACGGAATACGAGGCCAATCAGAAGTCACCATCATTCAACTGAGGCACCACCAAGAACTAATCATCAGGCTTCAGCATTTCAAGCATGTATAGCTTCTAATTCGGCTAACATCAAATTTCAGGACATAAATGGGGTTATTCTAATTAAACGGTCTTAAAGTAAGGCGACCAAAACACGCCTTCAGCATCCCAAGTCTTCTTCACATCCCTCAAAACATCCAACCTCTCCTCATCATACATATCGCTCAAGTCCTTTCCAGGCCTCAAATTATTCGGAAAACTTCTCGGCACCATCCCCTCATCACTCTTCCTATAACCCGCAACTACATCATCTAGAATTGGCCCGAACGCCTCTCGTGTCTTATCCTCCTTGGCCACCATCACCATAAACGCATTGATGTTTCTGTCCCTGCCCTCTACGAACTTCTCATCCTTTATCGCCGAAGTTTTGTCAATGTTGTAAGCTGAGATGATGAGGCTTGATTGTTGAGCATCTGGATAAGCCTCCGTTGCGATGCGCCATTTGTCGAAGCCAGCTTTTATGGTTTCGGCAGTTGTTTTGTGAAGACGACAGGATGCTATCGTTTTGTGGCCGTGGTGAGAGTTGTAGATGTTCATCTTGGCATTGATATTCTCAAATGGCACTAGCTCTGTGTTTGCCACGACGGTCTTGCTGACGATATCATCCTGGAAAAGCAGGGTCGTTGCTTTCTCAGCCTGCTCGCCAGGACCAAAGTACTGATATCCTAGAATGATGATTGGAGATCCAGCTGCCGGAGTACCAGGAGGACTTCGTGCAAAGGCCAAGCTCAGGTATCCTTCTGCTGGAGGGTGACTCAAACTCACAAAATTCTTGATAGCGACGTCTAGTGCTGGAGCAGGAAAGATGAGTGACCGCGTCCAGATCTTGTTGTCCTCCATGTTGAGACTGGAAAGTGGAAAGGCAGAGACAGTCAGCTCCGTGACGACACCGAGTCCATGACCCGCGCCGCAAAGAACGTTAAAAAGAGCTTGTTCCTTCTCCTTTGACGAAGAATCAACCTCGATAATGTCGCCTGAAGCAGTAACAAGTCGGAACGAAACCATTTCGTCGACCATCCATCCATGAATGCCAATCTGAGCACTGTTTCCACCCCCAAGCATACATCCCACAAAGCCAACAGCATCAGAGTTGGGGATGGGGGTGTAGTAGCCCTCGTCTGCCAAAGTCTTCAGTACCTCTCCGACGAGGACACCACCACCAACCTTCACAGTTCCTTCATCTTTGTTCAGTTCAATCTTCTTGAAGAGCTTCATATCAAGGTACAAAGATGCTGAGTCCACGCTGACAAACGTTCCATGGCTTCCGCCAGCAGCAACGATTGCGAGCTTGTTCTCCTTCGCGATACTAATGGCATCTTTCACATCTTGCTCAGTCTTTGGGGTGACTATCAGAGCAGGATGTTCGATGTGTGTGTCGGACCAGCGAGGGAGTTGCGGTGTATCATTGTCAGGGACGGCATATTCGCATTGAAGCGATTCAATGCCCTTTATTTGAGCAGACATATTCACAAAGACAATTGGAGACAATAGCATGGATTATCATTTACTTATTTGGCGGACTAGGTCCCGTTCTTATACCTTGTCCTTCAAGTTGATGGATCTAGTGCTTACCTTTCTCTGAATATCTGACATGCTCACTTCCGAGATACCCGACTTCTAAGCCGTAGTAATATCACGATATCACATCAGCGGTATTATCCCCACAACTAATTAACTCCCGTCTCCATTTCCTCAGTTCAGTTCAGGTCAAGTCGCACCAGCACAACTAATCATCCATCCTAACCCATGAATCCGCCAGACCCTTACACTTAACACACCACAAATTCCTCACCTTGAGCATATCCACTGATCCCCCCTGATCATCCCTAACCCTATATGGCACATCCATCACGAGCTCACACTGCAAGCAAATAACCTGATATACATTCTTCCCCTCTGCATTGCATGGGACACACCAACCCGGGCCGAGGTGATGAGTAGTCTCGTTGCAGTTTTTGTTCTCGCAGTGGGAGAGAAACGTATCTCTTTCTATTTCGCGCTTGGAGGCGGCTTGCTCGAGGTATATTTCTTTGAGGCAGCGGAGACACATTGTCTTGGAGCCAGTGAATGAGGCGTGGCAGCGTGGACAGGTCCGGGATGGAGGGTTGAATGCTGGTACGAGATAACCACGGAGGAAGGATTGCCGGATGAAGGATGCGTTCTCGTCAGTCATTGTAACGGGTGATTGGGGATTGTTACCTTGTTGACTCATTTCGAACTGAGTGAGTGGTGATTTTATCTTGAAACCGTTATGTTGAAGCGTTGATATTGAAACTGTCAGTAGAGGCCGAGATCTTCAGACATGGAGAACCAGTTAATCTTATAGGAAACAAGGCATTGATCGTCGATTTGCCTGTTCTTCAGTGCGTAAGTGAATCAAGGTCTTGTTCATTTGAGATGCGACATGCTTTGTTCTTCAAGCGCACTCCGTTCCTTCAACACAAAGCACTTTCGTTCATGCCGGCGAGCAAGGTAATCAGAACAGACCACATAACTCACGCGATTACCACAGGAGCAAATTTTTAGCCATCTTTCATAACAATCGTATTCAATTCCCAAATGCGTCTCATGTGTTCGTCGCAGTACTAAACATCTCCGTCGTGAATCATCTCTCGTTTCTCATCACCAAATTACCCTGTTCTCTCACTACATCCACATGTTCAAAGCGCCGGTCCTTCCCACTGCTCACGACGCAGTCTTACAAGCCAAGACTGTTTATGAGGGAACGAAATCTGCTTCTCACGTGAGAATCCTGTAAACTCTAGACCCTGCAGGAACCTACTCATTGTCAGTGTTGAACAACCATGTTCAGAGGAACAAACTCACCTCGCATTGTCTACTCTCGGCTCAAGACATATACTCATTGTTCGGTAGTCCGATGTCAGGCACCAATGCACCAATCCCGTCAGCCAGATTGGAACTCGTCCTCTCGCCCATTCTTCTCCAATGAACACGTGAAGGCCTCTATCCCAATCTGCCGCATCGCTGCCCAGGTGCTGACCGAGGATGTCCTCCTTGACCCAGTAAATCTCAAAGTAGCCAAATGGTACGCCGTCCCATTGTCCAATTACAGGGAACGAGTTGGCTTGGTTTAGTGATTTGGTGAGGAATTGTTCATCATACTCACCCCAGAAGGCACTCACTCGAGGCTTCTTCATCCACATTTCCAACAGGGCTGCGTCATTCATCGTACTAAGATGAGATTGCTCAGGAGGTTTGGGTCCAACGGGTCCAAGGTAAGGTACTGGGTTGGGTGAAATGGAAGCAACTCGGAACGAAAGATACTGGTTAACACTCGGGACAAATCTCGTATAGAAGACTTCGCCCATCCTGGGTGGCTTTGGTCTCATCGGGTGACGGATATTATTCGTAAAAATGTATTGAAGAGGAGCAGGCGGGTAGTAGGTCGGAAGATGAGAGCTCGAAAAGAAAGGTCCAATAGGGAGACTCGGTGGGTTCACCATCGATGTTGGAGTTGGTCCACCAGGAAGATCATGATCTATCCGGTTCAGAGATGAATGCGGCGAATGGCGCTGGAAAGTCTTGTGGAACGGCGATGGTGGTTCCATGGGTAAAGGTGAATTCGGGCGACTCCCAATAGGTGATCCAGGAACAGAATCGTAATTCGCACCAGCTTTGTTAGGCTGCAAAGAGAAGAGAAAAAGCCGACCAGGGAGTTGCCAAAACATGCGTCTCGA